AACACTTTCATCTGTGGTGTTAGCTAGCTAGCTATATTAGCTACTATGCTAGCTAGCTGGCTAGATAAACATGGTGCTAAGATATCAGGTAGGAGCTAATAGCCAACGTAGCTAGCTAACATTAGCTGGTTATTTTGAACATGCACCATTTTCGGCAACGAGCCATCTGACTTGCAGTGTAAAGTTAGCTATTTACTGGTGTGCTGATCTGACCAGCCGCAATCGCATCCATAAATTGACAGTTGATAGCCGGATTAGATGATTGTCATAATAGGGAAAGAAAGAAGTGTTTTAAAATGCCCAAATAAAGGTTGGCCAATAGGTTTAGCTACCTAAGAATCTTGCTGCATGTTTATGGAAAGCTATAGATCAGCGCACGTATGTGTGCGTTCTCACTTCTCAAACTATGGGCAGATATGAGTCATTCAAACAGAACATGCATTGTCATTTCATATTTTTTCCTACACTTGCTCTCCTTGTTAATATTACGCATTTATGGCTTGGTAGCAAATGTCATCACCATTGAGCTTGTTCTCATAGTAGCAGTAAACAGCACCAAGTGATATGAGCGATGGAGGGAGATGTGAGCAGTCGCTCTATCCAATCGTAGCAGTAGGATCAAGTTACAAACTGTCCATTTCTTGACAGATAGCTGAACTAGACAATTGAGTTGTTTCAAGTTTCGTCCTGGCAGCTGAGTTGTTTAGAGAGGCGTCCTGACAGCTGAAAAAAAAACAATGTTTTCCCGATCACGGAAAATGACAAAAATTATAGTTTCATAAACATCCGTGATCACAAATCATGACGTTGCACCCATTTGCATTGAATAGATGTTATTTTATATTCTCAAACTAACAGCAGTGCTAATATGATGCATCACCACCTGGTATGGCAACTGCTTGGCATCCGACTGTAAGGTGCTACAGAGGGTAGTGCGTACGGCCCAGTACATCACTGGGGCCAAGCTTCCTGCAATCCAGGACCTACAGTGAGGGAAAAAAGTATTTGATCCCCTGCTGATTTTGTACATTTGCCCACTGACAAAGACATGATCAGTCTTTAATTTTAATGGTAGGTTTATTTGAACAGTGAGAGACAGAATAACAACAAAAAAATCCAGAAAAACGCATGTCAAAAATGTTATGAATTGATTTGCATTTTAATGAGGGAAATAAGTATTTGACCCCTCTGCAAAACATGACTTAGTACTTGGTGGCAAAACCCTTGTTGGCAATCACAGAGGTCAGACGTTTCTTGTAGTTGGCCACCAGGTTTGCACACATCTCAGGAGGGATTTTGTTCCACTCCTCTTTGCAGATCTTCTCCAAGTCATTAAGGTTTCGATGCTGACGTTTGGCAACTCGAACCTTCAGCTCCCTCCACAGATATTCTATGGGATTAAGGTCTGGAGACTGGCTAGGCCACTCCAGGACCTTAATGTGTGTCACGGTTTCGGCCGAGGCGGCTCCTCCTCCTTGTTCGGGCAGTTTCGCCGGTCGTCGTCTCGGGAGTTCTAGCTGCCACCGCTCGATGTTTCGTGTTTGTTTGGTTTTGTCTGTTAGTCACACCTGTTTTGTGTTAGGTCTCATTTAGCACCCTATTTAGTTTCCTTGTTGTTAGGTTTGTGTTGTGTGTGATTGTTCGTGTCGTGGTTGCGCTACCCGTGTCGGTACGCTATTTTCCTGAGCTTCCTCCTTGTGTTGTGAGAATGTGCTTCTTCTTGAGCCACTCCTTTGTTGCCTTGGCCGTGTGTTTTGGGTCATTGTCATGCTGGAATAACCATCCACTACCCATTTTCAATGCCCTGGCTGAGGGAAGGAGGTTCTCACCCAAGATTTGACGACGGTACATGTCCCCGTCCATCGTCCCTTTGATGCGGTGAAGTTGTCCTGTCCCCTTAGCAGAAAAACACCCCCAAAGCATAATGTTTCCACCTCCATGTTTGACGGTGGGGATGGTGTTCTTGGGGTCATAGGCAGCATTCCTCCTCCTCCAAACACGGCGAGTTGAGTTGATGCCAAAGAGCTCCATTTTGGTCTCATCTGACCACAACACTTTCACCCAGTTCTCATCTGAATCATTCAGATGTTCATTGGCAAACTTCAGACGGCCCTGTATATGTGCTTTCTTGAGCAGGGGGACCTTGCGGGCGCCGTAGGATTTCAGTCCTTCACGGCGTAGTGTGTTACCAATTGTTTTCTTGGTGACTATGGTCCCAGCCACCTTGAGATCATTGACAAGATCCTCCCGTGTAGTTCTGGGCTGATTCCTCACCGTTCTCATGATCATTGCAACTCCATGAGGTGAGATCTTGCATGGAGCCCCAGGCCGAGGGAGACTGACAGTTCTTTTGTGTTTCTTCCATTTGCGAATAATCGCACCAACTGTAGTCACCTTCTCACCAAGCTGCTTGGCGGTGGTCTTGTAGCCCATTCCAGCCTTGTGTAGGTCTACAATCTTGTCCCTGACATCCTTGGAGAGCTCTTTGGTCTTGGCCATGGTGGAGAGTTTGGAATCTGATTGATTGATTGCTTCTGTGGACAGGTGTCTTTTATACAGGTAACAAACTGAGATTAGGAGCACTCCCTTTAAGAGTGTGCTCCTAATCTCAGCTCGTTACCTGTATAAAAGACACCTGGGAGCCAGAAATCTTTCTGATTGAGAGGGGGTCAAATACTTATTTCCCTCATTAAAATGCAAATCAATTTATAACATTTTTGACATGCGTTTTTCTGGATTTTTTTGTTGTTATTCTGTCTCTCACTGTTCAAATAAACCTACCATTAAAATTATAGACTGGTCATTTCTTTGTCAGTGGGCAAACGTACAAAATCAGCAGGGGATCAAATACTTTTTTCCCTCACTGTATATACTAGGCGGTGTCAGAGGAAGGCCCCAAAAATTGTCAAAGACTCCAGTCACAAAAGTCATAGACTGTTCTCTCTGCTACCGCATGGCAGGCAGTACAGGAGCGCCAAGTCTAGGTCCAAAAGGCTGCTTAACAGCTTCTACCTCCAAGCCATAAGACTGCTGAACAATAAATCAAATGGCCACCTACATTGACACACTGCTGCTACTCACTGTTCATTATCTATGCATAGTCACTTTAGCCCTACCTACATGTACAAATTACCTCGACTAACCTGTACCCCCACACATTGACTCAGTACCGGTACCCCCTGTATATAGCCTCGTTATTGTTATTTTATTGTGTTACTTTATATTTTTTACTTTAGTTTATTTAGTAAATATTTTCTTAACTCTATTTCTTGAACTGCATTGTTTGTTAAGGGCTTGTAAGTAAGCATTTCACGGTAAGGTTGTATTCGGCAGGATGTGACAAATAAAATTAGATGTGATGTCCTTCCATACAGGCGTGACATGCTGGAGTGATGCTTCTATGCAAATGTTGTTGATCAGTAGGATAATATAAGTCCCAAATGGAAGGCAAACTTATTTTTTGTCATCTGAAGCATCATAGACTCCACTGATCAGTCAAAACAAGCTCAATAACTCAATACATGTACACACTCCTATTGAATATGCATTCACCTGTATTGTAAGTCTATGCCATCTTCATTTACCGAGTTTATCAAGAGATTTACCTTTCAAATAAAATTATTTAGTCATCAACATTTTCAAACGTAATGATATTGAATATCGGCCTAAAATATTGGCCATCGGCCTCCTTTACCGACAAAAATGGTATCGGAATCAGCCCTAAAAAAAAATCCACATTCTGTATTCTCTCCAGCAGTGGTGAAGTGTAGGCCTATTACTAAATTATGTAGCCTTGTGACACTGTCCTACTGGACTCTGTGCCGGTCCTTACTTAAACGTAATAGAGTACTATGGTATGTTGGGATCTTGTTATCTTCCTGCAGATGACAGTATTGAGTCATGACCTGAGGGCCTACTTGTTTTCTTTCTCCAACCAAATCTAAATCTAGGCTTTTCAAATATATTCCATTGTCCTTTCTCTTGTTTGTATTATGGCTATATTCCCACTAATATTCCTTTCTGTAACTAAGCTTTTACATGTGTATTTTTCGGTCTTTATAATAATAATAATTTTTAATTTGTAAAGCGCATTTCCCGTGCTCAATTCACATGTGAAGCTTATTGGTGCTTGCTTTGTGCGCAAATCATTTGACCGCTGCAGCTTGAGATTATTTATTCCCTTTTATTTATGAAAAGAAGCTGGTACTGGCCTTTATTATTTCTGATTTATTTCTGATATTTTAGCTTAGTTAAATTGATTTATATTATGGTGTTTCTAGTCCAAGAAAAATCAAAAATACATTTTACAGTAGCCTATGTATTACCTACCTAAACATCCCTTAATACATTTAAAGTAATTCAAAATAGAAACGACATATCCTAATGTTAGAAAGTAGAATATAAACTAGATATAGGCTACTGTGGGTGGGGTAGGCTAAATAATTACAACCGAATAGACCTAATTAAAAGAATACTGATAAAGGAAACAAAAAATGCTAGGCAGAGCAGGCCCAGAGCTTGTGGCTGAGCAGTACCAGAGCGAAATTGGAGCGGGAGAAGAAGGTTGACACCATTTTTTAAATCTGCTCAAATTACGCTCTGCTCCTCGCTCAACACTCGCCCACTTACATTCAACAGCAGCCCTGCTTTAGGCCGTCAAAAAACTGTCAATGAATAATCATATCAATGGATGGAATCAGTGAATGAATGGCTGCAGCAACCATTACATGGTCTGACACGCTGCATAACAACTTAGGCCTAATTAGACAAAGGAACATTTTACTAAGTCGTTCAAACAAGATAATTACAAGAGTCTAAGTTCTTATTTTATTTTGCCTTGGGCTTCAGGGCTTCCATATTGACCCATCTATAACATGAGATTTACATCAAAAATAGAGATTTGGTTGTAAAAAAGCAACATTCTCCTTTAATATCATACAGCCTCTTTCTTGCTTTCCATGTAAAACAACCAAAGGCACACTTCAAGTTCAAGTAGAAGACTAATAGAAGCACAGCACTTGGCCAAAGGTCGTAGTTACCTCCTCCGGGCGGCTCAGCACGTGACCCTCAGGGCCAGTGATGCCCAGCTCCAGGATCTTACGCTGCTCCTGCAAATCCATCAGAAAACAGCTTTAGTGGCTTGGCCAGTGGAGAAGGCAAGCTGGGACAAGGTGATAGGGTTTATTAGAAACTCTGTTACCTCAGCAATGATGTCCCCGTTCTCTGCGTGCACCTGAGCGATGGCTCCCAGGTCTCTGATGACATTGAACACCTCGTACATCTACAGGAAGAGGAAAGCAGCTGGTCAACACACAGGCCAGGGAACCAGGGGCTTTAGCAATGAGGACATTTACAATGTGATTTTTGGTGGTCCAAGCTTTAGTGGAGATCTCTTTGTCAGAGCAACACATGCTGGATGAGAATGTTAAATACATAGATTCAATCATTTATTCCACTTCTTTAGGTTGACCACATGTTTCAATTCAGAATTCACATGACAATCAACTAGGAATTCACAGCTGCAATAGGCCACAGGAAACGGTCAGGCAATCTTTCAGCACGTGTTACAAGAGTCATCCCCAGTGGCAGTCCTAACCACTAACCAGCCTGTGCTGAGTGGGAAAACTCAATACAGTGCCATTAACAAAGCTCTCCCAGAAATACATGAGGCACATGGGCGAGATCATTCACCCCACAGAAAGATAATCCTTTATCTAGCAGTCAGACAGCAGTAGATATTCCAGAGGAGGTGAGGAAGGCTTCAATAATCTCATAATTGTTGGAGCAGTGATGTGCTGTCGTCACCAAACTTGAGATATGCACGCATAAATCCATGCAAATCTCCCATTGACATCAACTACTTTTTACACTTACTAATCTCAAATTAGGATTCAGCCTTCAAAGAGTTTATAAACAATGGCTAACACTTTACTTGACACTCAGTGCCATAACACGTTATGACACGGTCATAACCATGAACTAATATGCCATAACAGCTGACATAACTTGTCATAACCTGTCATAATAGGGTCATAACACTGTCATGACCCATATATTTACACCTGTTGTGACATATATTGTGTTATTTTATGGCTGGTTATGACACCTACATAAGAGTGTCAAAACCCACATTTATTCAAATTCGTTGTTTCCCTGCCAAGAAGTTTCCTTTCGTTTGAAAGTTTGTTTCTTAAATTATTTGTTAGTTGTTTACAGTCGTGTATTTCATCATATTTTAAATAACTTGTAGAAAATACACTTTATGACACTGTCATGAAGCATTATGACCATATTGTGTCACTTTACTTGGACTAAGGAAATACACTTTATTACACTGTCAAAAAGCATTATGACCTTCATAATCATATAAGCCAGATAGGCCTATCTCGTACATGCCCTTCTATCAGTCATCAGTCAAAAAGAGGGTGTCTTGTCCTGCTCCTGTAATCTTCTCTTGCATTCGTCCCAGTCATTAGCAACAGGGCACAGTTAGAAAGATATGGCATATAGAAGCAAACTAGATGGACATCATGAAAATGATCGGAGAGGTTGAGGGTAGAGGAAGTTCAGGTGTAAAAACAAACAAAATATAATTATTGTAAAATTGACTGTGTCCATAAAATGTATATAGTATGTATACGCTGGAAGTAGAGGCCTAAGTGTTGTTGTTCACTAGTTTTCTCCAATTAGGGAAGGGGTGGTGTGGTTGGAAAGTAATGAAAGGAAATATATTTTTAAAGGATATGTATTATATATATATATGTATTTATATGTATGTATGTGTATATGTATGTGTATGTATGTATACAGTTGAAGTCTGAAGTTTACATACACCATAGCCAAATACATTTAAACTAATTTTTTCACAATTCCTGACATTTTATCCTAGTAAAGATTCCCTGTCTTAGGTCAGTTAGGATCACCACTTTATTTTAAGAATGTGAAATGTCAGAATAATAGTAGAGAGAATGATTTATTTCAGCTTTTATTTATTTCATCACATTCCCAGTGGGTCAGAAATGTACATACACTCAATTAGTATTTGGTAGCATTGCCTTTAAATTGTTTAACTTGGGTCAAACGTTTCGGGTAGCCTTCCACAAGCTTCCCACAATAAGTTGGGTGAAATTTGGCCCATTCCTCCTGACAGAGCTGGTGTAACTGAGTCAGGTTTGTAGGCCTCCTTGCTCGCACATGCTTTTTCAGTTCTGCCCACAAATGTTCTATAGGATTGAGGTCAGGGCTTTGTGATGGCCACTCCAATACCTTGACTATGTTGTCCTTAAGCCATTTTGCCACAACTTTGGAAGTATGCTTGGGGTCATTGTCCATTTGGAAGACCCATTTGCGACCAAGCTTTAACTTCATGATTGATGTCTTAAGATGTTGCTTCAATATATCCACATAATTTTCCTTCCTCATGATACCATCTATTTTGTGAAGTGCACCAGTCCCTCCTGCAGCAAAGCACCCCCACAGCATGATGCTGCCACCCCCGTGCTTCTCGGTTGGGATGGTGTTCTTCGGCTTGCAAGGAACCCCCTTTTTCCCCCAAACATAACGATGATCATTATGGCCAAACAGTTCTATTTTTGTTTCATCAGACCAGAGGACATTTCTCCAAAAAGTACGATCTTTGTCCCCATGTGCAGTTGCAAACCGTAGTCTGGCTTTTTTATGGCGGTTTTGGTGCAGTGGCTTCTTCCTTGCTGAGCGGCCTTTCAGGTTATGTCGATATAGGACTCGTTTTACTGTGGATATAGATACTTTTGTACCTGTTTCCTCCAGCATCTTCACAAGGTCCTTTGCTGTTGTTCTGGGATTGATTTGCACTTTTCGCACCAAAGTACGTTCATCTCTAGGAGACAGAACGCGTCTCCTTCCTGAGCAGTATGACGGCTGCGTGTTCCCATGGTGTTTATACTTGCGTACTATTGTTTGTACAGATGAACGTGGTACCTTCAGGCGTTTGGAAATTGCTCCCAAGGATGAACCAGACTTGTGGAGGTCTACAATATATTTTCTGAGGTCTTTTGATTTTCCCATGATGTCAAGCAAAGAGGCACTGAGTTTGAAGGTAGGCCTTGAAATACATCCACAGGTACACCTCCAATTGACTCAAATTATGTCAATTAGCCTATCAGAAGCTTCTAAAGCCATGACATCATTTTCTGGGATTTTCCAAGCTGTTTAAAGGCACAGTCAACTTAGTGTATGTAAACTTCTGACCCACTGGAATTGTGATACAGTGAATTATAAGTGAAATAATCTGTCTGTAAACAAATGTTGGAAAAATTACTTGTGTCATGCACAAAGTAGATGTCCTAACCGACTTGCCAAAACTATAGTTTGTTAACAAGAAATGTGTGGAGTGGTTGAAAAACGAGTTTTAATGACTCCAACCTAAGTGTATGTAAACTTCCGACTTCAACTGTACATATATATATATATATACACTGCTCAAAAAAATAAAGGGAACACTTAACAACACAATGTAACTCCAAGTCAATCACACTTCTGTGAAATCAAACTGTCCACTTAGGAAGCAACACTGATTGTCAATAAATTTCACATGCTGTTGTGCAAATGGAATAGACAACAGGTGGAAATTATAGGCAATTAGCAAGACACCCCCCAATAAAGGACTGGTTTTGCAGGTGGTGACAACAGACCACTTCTCAGTTCCTATGCTTCCTGGCTGATGTTTTGGTCACTTTTGAATGCTGGCGGTGCTTTCACTCTAGTGGTAGCATGAGACGGAGTCTACAACCCACACTAGTGGCTCAGGTAGTGCAGCTCATCCAGGATGGCACATCAATGCGAGCTGTGGCAAGAAGGTTTGCTGTGTCTGTCAGCGTAGTGTCCAGAGCATGGAGGCGCTACCAGGAGACAGGCCAGTACATCAGGAGACGTGGAGGAGGACCGTAGGAGGGCAACAACCCAGCAGCAGGACTGCTACCTCCGCCTTTGTGCAAGTAGGAGCAGGAGGAGCACTGCCAGAGCCCTGCAAAATGACCTCCAGCAGGCCACAAATGTGCATGTGTCTGCTCAAACGGTCAGAAACAGACTCCATGAGGGTGGTATGAGGGCCCGACATCCACAGGTGGGGGTTGTGCTTACAGCCCAACACCGTGCAGGGCGTTTGGCATTTGCCAGAGAACACCAAGATTGGCAAATTCGCCACTGGCGCCCTGTGCTCTTCACAGATGAAAGCAGGTTCACACTGAGCACATGTGACAGACGTGACAGAGTCTGGAGACGCCATGGAGAACGTTCTGCTGCCTGCAACATCCTCCAGCATGACCGGTTTGGCGGTGGGTCAGTCATGGTGTGAGGTGGCATTTCTTTGGGGGGCCGCACAGCCCTCCATGTGCTCGCCAGAGGTAGCCTGACTGCCATTAGGTACCGAGATGAGATCCTCAGACCCCTTGTGAGACCATATGCTGGTGCGGTTGGCCCTGGGTTCCTCCTAATGCAAGACAATGCTAGACCTCATGTGGCTGGAGTGTGTCAGCAGTTCCTGCAAGAGGAAGGCATTGATGCTATGGACTGGCCCGCCCGTTCCCCAGACCTGAATCCAATTGAGCAAATCTGGGACATCATGTCTCGCTCCATCCACCAACGCCACGTTGCACCACAGACTGTCCAGTTGGCGGATGCTTTAGTCCAGGTCTGGGAGGAGATCCCTCAGGAGACCATCCGCCACCTCATCAGGAGCATGCCCAGGCGTTGTAGGGAGGTCATACAGGCACGTGGAGGCCACACACACTACTGAGCCTCATTTTGACTTGTTTTAAGGACATTACATCAAAGTTGGATCAGCCTGTAGTGTGGTTTTCCACTTTAATTTTGAGGGTGACTCCAAATCCAGACCTCCATGTGTTGATAAATTTGATTTCCATTGATAATTTTTGTGTGATTTTGTTGTCAGCACATTCAACTATGTAAAGAAAAAAGTACTTAAGATTATTTCATTCATTCAGATCTAGGATGTTTTATTTTAGTGTTCCCTTTATTTTTTTTAGCAGTGTATATATATATATATATATATATATATATATATATATATATATATGCAAGGGAAAAACATATGTGGGATTGGAAGTCATACAGACAATTACATTGATGGAAGTTACAGTCTATCTGCAATATTAAAGCTGATCTACTCCCAATAAAAATAAATAAAAATGACCAAAAATAATAATACAATTTAAAAAAACAGAGCATTGGGGTAGGTGCATGTCTGACATCAATGTGTGCGCAATTACAATGATAATTTTAAATGGTACATTTCAAAAATATATATATAACATAAACATACTGTTGACACGTAGGCTATGGTGTAATGGAATGTTTTGCCTTGTGTGGAAGGTTTTGTGGGTTTGGAAACTCTTATTTAGGGTGTCATAACCAGCCATAAAATAACACAATATATGTCACAACAGGTCTAAATAAATGTGTCATGACAGTGTTTCTGACCATATTTTATAACAGGTTATGACATATTATGTCATGGTTATGACGCTGGGTGTCCAAGTAAAGTGTTACCAAGCAAGATAATACAGAATATAATTCTGTCATGCAATGCATTTATGCAAAGTGCAATGCAATCATGACTTCAAAGGCATGCACAAGCCTCCACAAATGTTGACTCCTCCATCCGTCGCCAGTAAATCATACCAATCTGAAATGCTTCAAATCGTACCTGGGAGTCGGAAAGTTGGAAAACATCCTTATAAGCCAAATAGACCAGGAAAGAGTTGACACCTAAAGATAGAAAACTTATGAGCAATAGTAGAAATAGACCAAGGGATAGCAAAGGGAGAGGAAAGGACAGTCACAGGGAGGAAATAGACCATAAGGAGAGTCTTAGTAGAAGTCATAGCTCCCCCACCCCAACTGACATGAGTGAATGGGTGACAATGGTTTGTGCAATTGTGTTAGTTGCGTACCGTGGTCCTTCACCAGGCTCTCCATCTCCTCCTGCATGCCCTTGTGCCAGTTAGTGATGTCCACATGCAGGGTGTAGTCACAGCAGGACTTGCTGTCGGCCCATTCCCTCCACTGGTTGAACGCTGCCACCAGGCTCACACCAGGTTCCGGAACCACATGATCAACTACACACACACACACCATTGTCATTGAAACCACCCTAGCAGTAACATTATCGCGTTTTACAGAGGCCAGACATAATATTCAAAACCATGAGACAACATGAACATCTGCAAAGGGTAAATTAGTCACAAACGTGTCGGCTGGTATCAGTATGTCAGAATCTAGGGGTTTCTGTAAAGTGGATCATTGGGGATGAAGCATTTCATTAGTACATACTGATCATGGTGGTTCCCCCAGCCAGAGCAGCACGGGTGCCCTGGTAGAAGTCATCTGCTGACACCATGCCCCTGTCTGGCATCTGGAAGCGTGTGTGCACATCTATGCCCCCGGGCATCACCATGCGTCCATGGGCATCAATGATCTTCACCCCACCAGGAACTATCAGGTTCTCTCCAATTTGCCTGAGAGGAGAATAAATGTATTAAGAGAGGGAGAGGGAGACACCAGAAATTATCAAAGGCATTACAAAAAATATACTCTGATTTTTAAAATATATATAGCCAACAAAAGTGCCAACAATAGAGAACAATGGCGCTCTAACTAATAAGACTTACTTGATGACTCCATCCTCCATATAGATGTCAGCAAGGAAAGACTGGTCATCATTCGTAATCTTCCCACATTTGATAAGGAGACGATCACTCTGTGAGAAGAGACAGAATTTAATTTATGTGACTTCATTGTGCTAATAGCAGTAAGCACCACAACCCATTGTTGATAGATTTAAAAAGCATATTTCATATTGAACAAATTTGGCATGAAAGGTAACCTAGCCAATACTCAACCCCAGCACATCCATCCATCCAGGAGAGCTTCAACAGAACCTAACTGAATAGAAGCACATCAGAGGCATACCATAAGGGACTAAAAAGCTCCATACTCCACACAAGGATAGAGTCCTTAGTACACATTCCTGTATAAAACACACTAGGGCTTGGCCAAGACATGGCCATTGTCTTGTCTGCCAAGAAACACCAAACAACAATGCATAAGCAGAGCTAAATCAGAAACAAAGTAACACCCAATGGTATTCAAAAATGTAAGTATGTTTTATCTAAATGGAAAAATTCAAACAAAAGGACACATGCTTATGGCCACATTTTTCTTTATTTTTGGGATCTTTCTGCAAAGATCTTCTTAACCAACTCTATCCAACAAGAGCTGTTTCTTTCTCTGTCAAACCAGTGATGCAGTTAAGGGGAATTCCAACACCTATTCAGAATGTCTCTACACTGAGTATACAAAACATTAAGAACACCTGTTCCATGACATAGACTGACCAGGTGAATCCAATCAGTGTAGATGAAGGGGATGAGACAGGTTAAAGAAGGATTTCTAAGCCTTGAGACAATTTTGACATGGATTGTGTATGTGTGCCATTAATAGGCTGAATGGGCAAGACAACAGATTTAAGTGCCTTTTGAACAAGGTGCCACTGGTTTGTGTCAAGAACTGCAACGCTGCTGGGTGTTTCACACTCAACAGTTTCCCGTGTGTATCAAGAATAGTCCATCACCCAAAGGACATCCAGCCAACTTGACAAAACTGTGGGAAGCATTAGAGACAACATGGGCAAGCATCCCTGTGGAATGCTTTCGACACCCTGCAGAGTCCATGCCTCGACGAATTGAGGCTGTTCTGAGGGCAAAAGGGGGAATGGGGGGGGGGGGGGGGGTTGCAACTCAATATTAGGAAGGTGTTCCTAATAGTACGAATCAAGGCTGGAATGGGCTTAAAAATTTAATTACTTAAAATTACTAAAAACTTTAATTACTTAAAAATCATACAATGTGATTTTCTGGATTTTTGACACAGTTGAAGTGTACCTATGATACAAATTACAGACCTCTACATGCTTTGTAAGTAGGAAAACCTGCAAAATCGGCAGTGTATCAAATACTTGTTCTCCCCACTGTATACAGGCCCGTCTGAAGTTTGCCAATGAACATCTGAATGATTCAGAGGAGAACTGGGTGAAAGTGCTGTGGTCAGATGAGACCAAAATCGAGCTCTTTGGCATCAACTCAACTCGCCGTGTTTGGAGGAGGAGGAATGCTGCCTATGACCCCAAGAACACCATCACCACCGTCAAACATGGAGGTGGAAACATTATGCTTTGGGGGTGTTTTTCTGCTAAGGGGACAGGACAACTTCACTGCATCAAAGGGACGATGGATGGGGCCATGTACCGTCAAATCTTGGGCGAGAACCTCCTTCCCTCAGCCAGGGCATTGAAAATGGGCCGTGGATGGGTATTCCAGCATGACAATGACCCAAAACACACAGTCAAGACAACAAAGGGTTTTGCCACTAAGTCATGTTTTGCAGAGGGGTCAAATACTTGTTTCCCTCATTAAAATGCAAATCAATTTATAACATTTTTGACATGCGTTTTTCTGGATTTTTTTGTTGTTATTCTGTCTCTCACTGTTCAAATAAACCTACCATTAAAATTATAGACTGATCATGTCTTTGTCAGTGGGCAAACGTACAAAATCAGCAGGGGATCAAATACTTTTTTCCCTCACTGTAAGAGTAGAACAAATAATCCCATTTCCATCTGAGGAGAGCATTCTATTGTAGGCTCGGGCTGGCCTACTTCTCATCAGGCCTTCCTCAGGGAGTGTGGGAATAATAAGGCCGATAGAGGCTCTCTCCTCTCTCCAGACCGCACAGCAGTCCACAAGATGTAGGATGTTAGTATCCCCTTGCTAGCACACTGACCTGAGTGCTTTCACATTCAGACAGTGACCTATAGCCTACCACTGAACAGGCCTCACAAAACTGCATTCTTCCAGCATGATCTAACAGACTATTATCTTCAAATGGGTCAATTGACTTCAGATTAGACTACATTTCTGCACTCAACCAGAAAAATGAAAATAACAGGCCTGAGTGCAGGGAATAAGGCAAATTGGTTCCAATATTCTCTTTCATATGTCTTTAATAAATCATGAGTGATCTTGTCTTACTTATCTTCATCTGTTCAACATCCATAGTCATATCTTTATTATAGGCCTATTAGGAAATAAGATGTAATCAGCAAATAAAACAAGGATGCAATCAATGCAACCATTCATTATAGTGGTTGATTCCACTGGGTATTTACAAGATGGAAACATTGAGTACAGAACATAAATCGGTAATGTGTTATGTAATGACATTTACGCTACTATGCAAAACACTGACTTACTGTGTTTTGGTGCGTTTGATGTCTTGCCACTGCATCTCTTTATAAATACCTCACAAACAGAATGACTTCATGAGTCTCTGTCCCACCTAAAAGCACCAGTGGAGGTTAAATGAACTAGGCCTATTTCTATACATACAGTATCTCTGAGACGGACAGCCTCAAGGGCAAGCATATCATTTATTTATTTAATAGACAAGATGTTAACAATAAGGCTATGCTATATTTGTGGAAAATCGGAGCAACTCCATGCTGTGCAAATGCTTGACAGTGATGAAGTGAAAGGGAAATGAAATGCAACTTTTGCACTGAATGGCATTTATAACAGGCCACACTAATGCATTATGACTAGTTAGGTAATGAAAATCCATATCGTCACTTAAAAGGCATCCTCCTGCCTCGTTTACAGTGAGCCCAGCCCAGTAAAATGCTGAACTGGATGGGCTAATCTTTGTGATAGATAGATGGGTAATCTTTGTGACACGGAAATGATTCTGGACCAAACACTCTCCTGGATATATTTAGGCTACACCACAAACATTGGTCAATAGGTCTAAGTCAGGGGTGGACAACTTTGATGGGGTTGGGGGCCACAAAAAAATCTGAACTAAGGGGCCGCAGTGTCTCGCGGGTCTGCATACCCACATACATACCCACACATGCAGTTAGAGCCAGCCCTAACCTTTTGGGGGCCCTAAGTTAAATTTTGTAAGACATTTTAGAATTAATTTCCTGCAATTATACACATTTGGCCATGGGGCATGGAGAAAATGTTGCCATTTTAAAGCACGTTTGCTGCAATGCTACACATTTTGCCATGGGGTGGAGATCTTTTTTTTTTTTACAGCTAATTTCCTGCAATTCTACATGGCGGTGGCACGGGCCGCCAGTTGCCCATCCCTGGTCTAGGTCATTATAATAGCAGGTCTATTACTAATTTCCATGGGGTTTCATGGGAAAACTGGGCCTTGCTCTGTCCCCCTTTGAAAGCCACAACACGCTGTCATCTGAGGGCCCGGGGTGCTGCTGGGATTGAGCCAACTGTATGCAATGCCTGAGATGCTTAGATAAGCCTCCTCCAGTTGTGAGGGAGATCCGACAGCCCCCCCCCCCCCCCCAGTTCCCCTTCATGCTTCATTCCCTGGCAGAAACAAAAGGAACAGATACCTGTTAACGCACGCAAATGTGTGGTTTGTGTTATTTGATTCAAGACATTAAATGCCTAAATTTCATTACTGTGTGTACACGAAGTATGTCAGCATACAGACAAAAGCTAGGCCTTCACAGCTTACAGCAACCAGCAAGGATGGCTTTCATCCAATGACCTACTTTTTAGAAGAAAAAATTGCCCTTTGAACTATTAATGTTATGCCCCCATCCCCAAATGTCATCATTGCAAATCAACCATTTGCTGTCTAGGGTTGATAAGACTAAATGTTGTGACAAATACATATGTATTTAATAAATGAATACATTTATTTTAATTTTATTTTATTGTTGGTGGGATTTTCCTATTTTCCTCACATTTTAATTTATATTGTGGTATACCCATAGTCTATAGCTACAGTATTACCAATTCGGCATTAAAAGTATATTAGAATCCATCTGAATATAAGGATGGAAAAGATAAAAGATTTGTCCCAATCATCCATTCTTGTTCCTGATCCTGTCGGCTAAGCTAAATCGTCTAACATGGTAGGATATGGAATGGACAAAAAAATTGCATGCACACAATAAAATGCGCGTGCCAACGAGTATTCCAATGACATGAGCGTATGAACTGGCGTTCCATTTATGACCAATTACCCTGCCTTTGTTTATTATAGCAGTGCAAGTGGTGACATTGCATTGGTATGAATGGACACCCCTCCTCTTCCTCCTCCTCAGCGTGATAGCTACAGCTAGCATAGTCTGTCTAATCCCTACTGCTAGTTTGTTCAGCCATGCATTGGTGAATGTATAGATTTTACACACAATTTTGTAAAATTATGAACATTTAAAACACTATACTCACTGTAATGCGTGGTATATTTTTCTTTCCCTGGTACCCGGACATCTTAGCGGCGCGTTGTCAGCGTCCTCGATTATGGCTGTCACCTCACTGATGTTAGCTAGACCGCTAGCAATGAAACGGTTGGATGCTCGGATGCGTTAAGACCAGTCGACGCCCAGACAAAATTGTGTCTCCGGCTATCGCCTGACTAAATTCGTGAAATAGCTCTATCCGTTCCAACGAGGTTTGCTGAATGAACTTAAAACAGGTCTGACAGCTTTTCCTCACGTTCTAATGCTGCGCCAAGCCTGTCCAGCAGTCACCAACAGGGAGCGAGAAGATAAACGGTGATGAGGGCCACGGCCAGCGTCCATGCGCAATGCCCCACCCTTCTCCCCATCGTGGCTCTCCACTCACCTGCTGCAGGCCAAGTCTGGAGGATGGATGGGAAACTAGGAGTGACACTGATGCTCATTTGACTTGTCTGAAACAATGCAACGTCCTTTAATTAGAAAGGACAAGCAAAGTTCAATGACATGAGCGCATGAACTGGCGTTCCATGTATGACTAACTACCCTGCATTTGTTTATTATAGCAGTGCAAGTGGTGACATTGCATTGGTATGAATGGAATGAATTGGTAATAAACCTGAAATAAGCCAGATCTTTTCTCAGATGTCAACATTTTGAGAAAAATCACTGACTGCACACACACACTGCATTATAATTATCTTTTGAACAAATAATTGTTACAAATACAACCACTGTATCTCAGTCTGTAGACTGAGTAGGTGTGGAAATTATCCTTTCACCTATCAGTGGTGACTAATGAGAGTAATGAGGAAAAGGCCCACACACTAATATCCCTATACCACCTACAAGGTACTGTCAGGTTTAAATTTGTTACACCTTTGATGATTGAAACCAATTATGTGTATTTAGTAATATACATAATGTGGAAGCCTTATGGATTAAATGCTGTTATTTTTCATCAAACAATGTCAGTCGGGTGTGCATGTTGAATTAATTAATTATTTACTTCATTCAGGGATGTATTTTGTGCATCTTTTGTTTAATGTTAAAGAAATGCAATTAGATTGCTTTCTTGCTAATAAAATGACACAAGGAAAGGAAGCCATTCACTCCTATAGCACAGCCATGTGGCCAAGCAGCAGTTTGTCCATGCAAGCAGAGATTTCAACACATACAGTGCATTCGGAAAGATTTCAGACACTTCCCTTTTCCAAAAATGTTTACGTTAAAGCCTTATTCAAAAAAGGATACAATTATTTTCCCCCCCCCTCAATCTACACACAATACCCCATTATGACAAAGCAAAAACAGGTTTTTAGACATTTTTGCACATTTCTTTAAAATAAAAACACCTTTGCTATGACTCGAAATTGAGCTCAGGTCCATCCTGTTTCCATTGATCATCCTTGAGATGTTTCTACAACTTGACTGGAGTCTACCTGTGGTAAATTCAATTGATTGGACATGATTTGGAAAGGCACACACCTATCTATATAAAGGTCCCACAGTTGACCGTGCATGTCAGAGCAAAAACCAAGCCATGACGTCGAAGGAATTGTCCGTAGAGCTCCGAGACAGGATTGTGTCGAGGCACAGATCTGTGCAAGGGTACCAAAAACTTTCTGCAGCATTGAAGGTCCCCAAGAACACACTGGCCTCCATCATTCTTAAATTGAAGAAGTTTGGAACCACCAAGTCTCTTCCTAGAGCTGGCCGCCGGCCAAACTGAGCAATCGGGGGAGAAGGGCCTTGGTTAGGGAGGTGAACAAGAACCCGATGGTCACTCTGACAGAGCTCCAGAGTTCTTCTGTGGAGATGGGAGAACCTTGCAGAAGGACAACCATCTCTGCAGCACTCAACCAATCAGGCCTTTATGGTAGAGTGGCCAGACGGAAGCCACTCCTCAGTAAAAGGCACATGACAGCCCGCTTGGAGTTTGCCAAAAGGCACCTAAAGGACTCTCAGACCATGAGAAACAAGATTCTCTGGTCTGATGAAACCAAGACTGAACTCTTTGACCTGAATGCCAAGCGTCATGTCTGGAGGAAACCTGGAACGGTGAAGCATGGTGGTGGCAGCATCAATCTGTGGGGATGTTTTTCAGCGGCAGGGACTGGGAGACCAGTCAGGATCGAGGGAAAGATGAATGGAGCAAAGTAGAGAGATCCTTGATGACAACCTGCTCCAGAGCGCACATGACCTCAGACTGGGGTGAAGGTTCACCTTCCAACAGGACAACGACCCTAAGCACACAGCCAAGACAACGCAGGAATGGCTTCGGGACAAGTCTCTGAATGTCCTTGAGTGGCCCAGCGAGAGCCCGGACTTAAACGATCGAACATCTCTGGAGAGACCTGAAAATAGCTGTGCAGTGACGCTCCCCATCCAACCTGACTGAGCATGAAAGGATCTGCAGAGAATGGGAGAAACTCCCCAAACACAGGTGTGCCAAGCTTGTAGCATCATACCCAAGAAGACTCAAGGCTGTAATCGCTGCCAAAGGTGCTTTCAACAAAGTACAGAGTAAAGGGTCTGAATACTTATGTAAATGTGATCAGTTTTCTATTTTTAATAAATGTGCAAAACATTCTAAAAACCAGTTTTTGCTTTGTCATTATGGGGTATTGTGTGTAGATTGGGGGGGGGGGGGGCAATTTAATCAATTTTAGAATAAGGCTGTAACGTAACAAAATGTGGAAAATGTCAATGGGTCTGAATACTTTCCGAATGCACTGTACCACTTCTTTCAACCTCAGAAATGTCTGAAATCCCCAAACCTCTCCTCTGTTGCCATGGGTTACGAAGAGGTATTCATCCCTCATGGAGTATAATAGAAACATGAATTACTGGGATGAACCAAGAGGGATCTGTTCCTTACAAAACAGTGTTTCGGCATACACAGACTTAAAGATAAGTATTCATTTAGAGACAGCATGCTGAGGCTAAGAGGACAGACCTCTTAATACACAATATTTCCTCTAAGCCTCAACATGAACTGCTCCGTAACTTGTTAAAAGGGGTGACTTGACATTGTTCAAATGTCTCAAGTCAGAGATGACAGCAATAAACCTTGCTTGCAACAATAACAATCTATAACCTTTCACTGATATTCTGAACAATGGAAAGTGGTCCATTTGACCTTATTATTGATTTAGTGCATCACTGTTTGAAAATATGGAGAGAAGGTACTGTTACATCTACCCAGTCCATGCTGTCTAGGTTCAATAAACATCTGCCAATTCATGTGAAAGGCCACTGCCTATTCTTTGTACTTTTCATGCATCAAGATACAGAGCACTTGACACGTATCCATCACCCACCTTCCTCTTCTGTTGACAATGTTTATTGTTTTACAATACATTTCTGTTATATTCATTTTCACCATTCAAAAACACATTGAGAGTATTGCAGTTAATTTCTCATTTAATGTCAGTTTTTCCAATTTGATAAAAATCTATCAAACTACAAGGTTGAAACTTCTTGCTACTAGAATCAATATCACAAACAAAACATGTTTAAGGAACAAGCAAAGCATCTTTCAGCTTGTATTTTGGATTATCAAAAAATAAATGAAACCAATTATAATGCGCATACTTCTTCTGCCTTAGATACAAGGATGGACTTGACAATTTTTATGAAAGCTATGACAGCCTTTGGCATCTCATGAATGATAATAAGTTAATCAATGCCAATTACAAGCTAAAGGCATGCATGCAATGGGAGTTACTTTGAGTTGGTACAAACCAAGAAAAGAGGCACAAAAAAAACAATCCCACTCAGAAAGAAAAAGAACCCTACTCATGTCATCACACCTATCCCTATTGTCCAGTCACCCTTACCCCTAAAGATAAAAATCCAAAACCCTAAATAACCAAGCAGCGGAGTGCTGGTTCTGTATAGTTACTTTCCCAGGAGTTCCTATTGCACGCTATGTGAGAATAATTACTTACTGTTTCAAAAAAACATTTTTACTTTTGCCAAAAAAGGGTCCTTTATCAGATTCCATAAAATATTTTCTTATCAGATTCCATAAAATAATTTCAGTACCTAATTGTTAAACATGTATCCAAAAATCATTACTTACATTTCCATAAAGCAGACCATATGTAACTCTGTGTTGTTGTTTTTAATCACACTGCTTTGCTTTATCTTGGCCAGGTCGCAGTTGTAAATGAGAACTTGTTCTCAACTGGCTTACCTGGTTAAATAAAGGTGAAATAAATAAAAATGTATGCCTATGGGGAATGGCTGAACATATTTCATGCATAAACAAAATGTTCACCATAAGGATTATGAAAAACCTCAAATTGGATCACCAAAGGACATGTCAAAACCAGGTAGGTGACTTATCAGGACTGGAGATAGGAGGGCATGTCACTGTTTGTGTTAGTCTAACCCTATAGTTAAACTTGTCCAATAGTTGAGAAATCAGTGTCCGTGTTACCTTTACAATGAAAGCACTGAGATGAAAATAAATCTATAATTGGCACTATGCAGTAGTCATTTTGTGTACCAAAAGCAAACTAAACTGAATCATTTGTGGCCAGTTATAACATCATTCCACCAATACATCCTACTCAGTATGGTGGCTGGACCTATACACTGTATAAACTGAGGGCATGTTAACACTGGAAAACTTAAATTCAAAGGTTTATAGAATCAGCATGGAGAAAATAAATAAGATATGACAAACAAAAGGAAGAATGTGTGGCAGACACATTTGAGTTGCTAAACAGCAGGCAGGTTGTGTATATTTGTATCAACTACTGTACATTAAAAATTGTCTTCATTCAAACTTTCCCTTTACTACTATAGTACTTCACCCTGTACTACAGAGCATTTAGATTTACTACTCTTTCTGCATCGGCATAACTATCTGCTGGGATGTTTTCCTGTTAATCAATGGAAACCTGCAGTAGGTACTAGAATCACTATTCACACCCTTTCACCAAGAGACCACCTCCTTTAGAGAAAATTACTTGGGGCTACTAAATATAACAAAAATTAGGTATAACTAGAGTAGGCTGGAATACAAGCAAACTTCTCCTGAATTTATATTTTCTAAGTCTGGGCTGAAAATTATTCCAAACTCCATGTAATAAAAATAAAAAATCTGAACAACAGGACCACTTGATTCACAGTCACTGCAACTCTCAATGCCAATTGAAAGATGTACTGCAGATATGTAGCTTATTTTGGTTCAGGTACAAGTCACCATGAAATTAACTGACTGACTTAGAGTAGAGAACAGTAGAGAAACTCTTCATTTCTCAAAGCACAATCTCTCAGTCTAAGCTAAGGCATCTATATAGAAATCTAAGAGATTCCAAACCCTCAGGCCTTGTGCCACTCCAATACCAGCCACCTCAGTGTTTGTGCAGTACAGGTTATCAACAGCTTTTTAAGAATAATTTATTTCGGAAGTACAACACTCAGAATCATTACTGTTCGAAGCCAATCTGTGTCAAAAGGTAAAAGGTTCACAATAATTTATGAATTATGAACCCTCCAAAAGCACGCTACTGGGGTGAGTCAGTGTCAAGATAAAGTGGTACAAATAACTAAAGGGAAAAAAACAGTTGAAAGGAGATAGCGAGGCATACAATGGATGCAGAGGAAAAGAGGGCATTATAGCACATGAAGACATTGTAACAAGTAGTCAATAGGATCATTTAGATGCAACTTCCAGGCACTGGGTTTAGAAAGAGCTGGTGGAAGGCGTGGTGAGTCTCTTCCCAATGTAGACCCTAAGGAGACAATAAGTATAGCATGACAGTGCTGAGCGATTAACTGACATTTTGGTTATTTTTTGGTTTTTAAAATAACTTATTGAGCGATGATGTTTAAATTATTTTAATTCCATTTCATTCTGTTTTTTTATGTGAGCTCAATGCACACATTGAACAGTTTCTCTAGAGTTCACACAGTTCAGGATGGATCTGATTTATGTAGTAGGGAATTGTAGTTTCCAACTGGCCAATATTCTACATAGTTTAGCGCATAAAAACGTGGTAATCAACTACAATGACCATAATCCATTGTGCATCTATTACATTTACATTTTAGTCATTTAGCAGACGCTCTTATCCAGAGCGACTTACATGAGCAACTAGGGTTAAGTGCCTTGCTTAAGGGCACATCGACACATTTTTCACCTAGTCGGCTCAGGGATTAGAACCAGCGACCTTTCGGTTACTGGCACAACGCTCTTACCCACTAAGCTACCTGCCGCCCATCTATCTACCTTGTTCGGTCTGTTTCTTTTATGCCTGCTATGGAAGAGGCAGAAGAATGCGCGATCGTGAGGGGATATATAGAGAGCAGCTGTTGCTTTGCAAAGGTATCTCTACCTGAAAAGCCATGATCTAAGTGATTGATAGTTTGGTATTCAGCAGTCATAAAAGTATGCCTTATTTAAGAAATACAAAATAGTGATTTTGTCAGACAGCATATGCAGCAGCTCTACAGAAATGAAATGACTTGGAATTATATAATAAAGTCATCAAATAAAACAAATGTAATATACACAACTTAAATATGTTATGTGAAAAAAGTATGGTTAATAAGTAATAAGCAGTAACGGGCAGTCACTACCATCATGGGACTTTTATTAATTGTTTTATTCTGTGTTACAGCTAAATATATTTTTTTAATCGCTCAGCACTAATGACAATGATTCAACAGCAGACAATCTACAAATACTCACATATATCCATTTGATTTGCTAGTTGTGTAAGATGGTACAGTCACTCACCCGATGCCGAGGGCAAGGATGTGAGATAGGAGTAAGGAAGGGATGAAGACTTTGAGGAAGTCAGCAGAGAAGACACCCCCTTTCTTCATGGCTCCACTATTTCTCATGCTGAGGGATACTGAGCGTCTGGGGTGCCGGAAGTGGAACTCCCTACAAAAAAAATACATCACTGAACATGTTCACCATTTTTAAACAAATTGCATTGGGTTCCCACAGAAAATTACCATTTGTATTATACACATTCGTCGTCTGCCTGGGCAGATATGGAATTTACTATGTTGTCTATTTTTGCTATGATTTAGGTTAGCAGTTTTTTTGTGTTAGAGCAGGGGAGTGAAATCTTTTTGGCTCGAGGGCCACATTGGGATTTTGAAAGGGCCACACAGATTTGTTTGACAAAATCAATTTGCTGGGGAAGAAAAAGGGCAGTTATTAAAAAAATATATTAGGTCCATTATAATTTCTACATTTTTACTTATAACTCCCTCGGGCCGGATTGAATGTGCTCGCAGGCCGGATCGTAGTTTGCCCACTCCTGTGTTAGTGTCTGCAGTGTGTCTCCTTACTTGGGTGGAACGTTTTCGGGCCGACTGGACCAATCTGCAACCCAGTCTGCACCCTTGTTCATCAGGATATCATCTTCTCTGTCTTTCTCTGGGCCTTCCTCCTCTGACTGCAGATGGGGGGAGAGAGAGAGCACACATGAACAGAGAGGTGCTGTAGGCCTATACTGTAACAGTGTAGACAGGGGCATGGATGGAGGAAGAGAGACATAAGGGCAGACTAGGTTGTTGTACCTGACTCCCTCTCCGACTGGACATCTCCACATCAAAGGTGATTTGGCCGTCATCCTGATCCGGACTGGGAGGTCGGTGAGGACTGAGGCGCAACACAGAAGGAAATAAACACACAAATTATACAAACACCCCAACATTGAGGACAGAGTTCAGGGAGTACACCAAAAACATGACACTCCCTTCCTACCTGTCGCAGGAGGAGCTGCTCTGGCTGGACTCGTGCTGGGCGTCCAGCAGGATCTTCTCCATGTCTCCATTGTGGATAGAGGAGGATGAGGGCACATGCTCCAGCACCCCTGTCAGACTCTCCTCCACCTCCTCTGGCACCACCTCCAGGGCCTGAGGGGCCTGACTCTGCCCCTCATTCCCGTTCCCAGGGGCAGGAGAGGGTGTGGTGGAGTTTGGCAGCAGGGCCTGGTTCCCGTTGTTTCCATTCATCTCCAGCTCCACCCATGACCCTGAAAACATAATAACGGCAGTGGGGTTTAGAGGAAGTGTGTGTATTAGGACAAATGTTGATAATAGTGACATAAGTCTACGGTAAAGATGCAGTGACAAGTTCTCAAATTCGATGCATGGCTTACTGCACAGTCACCAAAAAACATTGCATTTTGAAAAGAGAACTTGCAGCTACTATTGGGATTCAAATGAGCAAGCTGGAGAATGAAGGCAGTGGTACTTTTGAAAAGTCCAAATAGCTGCTGTAAGTCCTTGCAATTAGCTACACGGTCAACAAAGAGAGGAGTAATCATGACACAAAAATACTCACTGAGCCCGAACAGAGATCCAGACATTTACATTTCATGTTGGTCTACAGCAGAGAGTCCCTGGCAGAGGAATACATCCCTTCTGCCATTTAAGACCCTTTATCTCAGATGCATGAGACATGTCTGTGCTTTGTCTGGCACTCAGCCACTCACAGTATGTGTAAAGAAGTCACTGTATGGAACATACAGCAGTGCATGTTAATAAGGAGAGTCTTGGTGGATGGCTGCCGAGGATTAGGCCTAACTCCATATACATGAAAGCAGACTCATTTTGTAAAACTAAAAATAGACATGCATGCAAGGGTTTTAGATGTCAAGGACACCAGAAGAGGATTGTTGTACACCTAAGGCTACATGTGCATGTTACTGGAATGATTGCCTTCATTAACAAAAACAAACATACACTACATGACCAAAAGTATGTGGACACCTGCTCATCGAACATCTAATTCCAAAATCATGCGCATTAATATGGAGTTGGTCCCCCCTTTGCTGCTATAACAGCCTTCACTCTTCTGGGAAGGCTTTACACTAGATGTTGGAACATTGCTGCGGGGACTTGCTTCCATTCAGCCACAAGAGCATTAGTGAGGTCGGGCACTGATGTTGGGCGATTAGGCCTGGCTCACAGTCGGCGTTTCAATTCATCCCAAAGGTGTTCGATGGGGTTGAGGTCAGGGCTCTGTGCAGGCCAGTCATGTTCTTAAAAACTGATCTCGACAAACCATTTCTGTATGGACCTCGCTTTGTGCACGGGGGCATTGTCATGCTGAAATAGGAAAGGGCCTTCGCCAAACTTTACAGTTGGCACTATGCAGTAGGGCAGGTAGCGTTCTCCTGGCATCCGCCAAACCCAGATTCGTCCTTCGGACTGCCAGATGGTGAAGCGTGATTCATCACCCCAGAGAACGCGTTTCCACTACTCCACAGTCCAATAGCAGCGAGCTTCACGCCACTCCAGCTGACGTTTGGCATTGCGCATGGTGATCTTAGGCTTGTGTGCGGCTGCTCGGCCATGGAAACCAATTTCATAAGCTCCCGACGAACAGTTATTGTGCTGACGTTGCTCCCAGAGGCAGTGTGGAACTCTGTAGTGAGTGTTGCAACCGAGGACAGACGATTTAGCCAAATCCACTCATTTGAAGGGGTGTCCACATAATTTTGTATATATAGTGTAGCAGACTTCAGGAGAGTTTAGTTTAGAAAATGGCCATGGACTCAAAGTCTAGCCTGCTTTAAGCCACAACTGGAACAAAGCATGCTCTCAGTCTTTGCTCACAGTCATAAACAAGCACCCACGCCTATTATGCAAAACATTCCTGACTTCCTCTCTTGGGGACATCAATTGGACTTGTAATGGGGTAATCTCATCCACCAGCCAGCTCCCTCTCTAATTCGAGCCTGGGGACAAGGTTAGTAGGGGTGGCCTGAATGCCACTGTGTCAGTGAGGTTATGTGGTTCCATTTCCAATCTAGGCCCTTACATAATGTGCATATTCTATCAAACGTAGACCTAGCATAGAGATGTTATGTCTATCCATTATCTGGAATAGTAGTATGCCTCTTATACATCATTCATCATTACCATTATCTGTTTGCTTCTCTATAAATAAACACACTGTCCAGATGATAGCCTTCATTTCATAATGATAGTGCTACTGCCTCTCACAGCAGGCTACCTGAATGGAATCCAGACTGCTCCCATGCGCGGGCAGGAGGGGAGTTATGCAATCTCTGCAATCTAAGCTAAGCATTGAATCCAGGGCCATCGAACCCAGGGCCTGACTATTTAGCCAGTTACACCTGAGCAACATTCAACTAACTAAACCTCTTCTAGGACTTTCCCTGTGCATTCTACTAGAAACCCACTCTGCATCTCCATACTGTATAAAGGGCCAGAAAGGAACAAAGTACTATACAAGGTCACCGATAATACAAACCTATACCATCTTAATCTTGTGCTTTTTCCTCCAACGTGGACTGTGTGGGCAGTTGAGACTGCATCTGATGGTCATATTAATATTAAGACTGTTCAGCATACAGTAATGGTCATTGGGGGTGGAAGTAGGCAATATGCCTATTGCTTTATCTGCAAGGTTAACTTTTGACAGTTCCTACCCAAACATTGATTTACCACCCCTACTGAAAAAATTATAATATTTGTATTACTGATTAGATTTTTTTTATTTTACATTTATTTAACTAGGCATGTCAGTTAAGAACAAATTCTTATTTACAATGACGGCCTACACCGGCCAAACCCGGACGATGCTGGGCCAATTGTGCGCCGCCCTATGGGACTCCCAATCACGGCCGGTTGTGATACAGCCTGGAATCAAACTAGGGGGTCTGTAGTGACGCCTCAAGCACTGAGATGCAGTGCCTTAGGCTACTTAATGTCTCAAGTGGCGCAGCGGTCTATCTAGTATCAATCTTATTATGAGAAAGTATGGATACCGGTATGATGTTACTCAGTAGCTTATCACTGAGTATTATGGGCAATTGATAGGCCTAGACAGAGGTGTGGACTCAAGTCACAAATTTGATGACTTGAGACTCGACTTGATAGAAAATAAAATAACTTGAGACTTGACTTGGAGCCTTAAGACTCCGGACTCTACTTTGACTGGAGACTGATGACTTGAAATTCTGTCCAGGTTTTATAATGTTTTGTCACTTATTTTGTGGCACAGAATCTCTGTGAATTACTCTCCACGCAGCCAGAGACAGTATCGCACTTGCAAAAAAAAAAGAAAAAAAAGAAAAAGGATTAGCTAGTGAAACGCACACTTGGCCCTCTAATTGGAGCAGCAAACTGTCAATCAACACAGATCGGGTAGGCTAGCGCAGTGAGAAGGTTTTGAGGGGAGTTGCGAGTGTAGCCCACCATTTGTATTTTATATTTATACCTTTGCTAATTCAACCTGGTCACTAACATAATAGGCCTACGGCAATGCACCAAACTCTTGTTTTAAAAACATCTTATCTGTGCTTCAGAACCAAAAAAAATTGGTCCTGTGCAAATGTCATCAGTTTGACTGGTTTTAAGGAAATTAAAAGCTGAGAAACACGTTTCTGATAAAACTTCAGTTCGTATTGGGTGCATATTTTATGAAGTTGAAATACTGGTTGCATAAGTGTCAAAGATAATACATTACACACACACATTCACATTTTCTCAAGAGATGCAGCAATAGGATCGGGTTTTGTCCTCCCGATTGGCGCAGTGGTCTAAGGCACTGCATCGCAGTGCTAGCTGTGCCACTAGAGATCCTGGTTTGAATCAAGGCTCTGTTGTAGCCGGCCACGACCAGGAGACCCATGGGGCGGCGCACAATTGGTCCAGCGTCGTCCAGGGTAGGGGAGGGAATGGCCGGCAGGGATGTAGCTCAGTTGGTAGAGCATGGCGATTGCAACGCCAGGGTTGTGGGTTCGATTCCCACGGGGGGCCAGTATGAAAAAAATAAATAATGTATGCACTCACTTGTAAGTCGCTCTGGATAAGAGCGTCTGCTAAATGACTAAAATGTAAATGGGTGCAGCGTAAACATCAAATTGTAGGGAGAGAGGATTGCCATAAATTAATATGTAGCTCCAAAAATTGTTTGGTGATCAAGAATATTAACAATTTACCTTGCAAACTCACGAGCTATGGGGCATCAAGAAACAATTACTAGCATAGGCCTACTGGTCTTTTGTTATGTCAAAATTGCTTGAAATGTATCGTTTACTTATGAAGCTTGCATTTGAATGTTAAAATTAACAACAATCAAAAATGTGTTGTAGACAGAATAATGAAAATGGCTGTATGGTAGACTCAAATAGACAGAGATTTGTAGTTGAACAAGTCATTGCTTGTATAGATTATTTTTTATTGACTTGAGAATATAAATGTTTTTTTTACTCAAATGGACTTGCTCTTAGAATGCACGACTTGTACTTGATTCGAACCGTTCTAATTGGTACTCGACTTCTGACTTGTTTGTGACTCGAATAACAGCGACTTGGTCCCACCTCTGGAATTTTCAAATAATTATATATGCAAATGTTCTCTGCAGGAAAACGCACATATCTAGAAATGTTGTATGCAAACGTCTAGAAATGTATGTTTCGCATGGCAAAAACATTGTCTAGTGAGTGCGTTCCACAGCAGACATGCATTTCTGAAGCATTCCGTTCGCCTTTGTTGTGGATTCAGAAAATCGACAATGCATTGAATGCAGGCAAAATGTAACAAACCATAAATGCTTATGAATAGCTGGAGTTAAGTAAACAGATTTTACGACATAAAAACGGGGCATTGGCTCGGATTCGACACATTTAATTTATTTTCATTTCTAATTTTCAGACATGTTTTGATTAGGGTTAAACCCGCCTCAAGGCAAACTAGCGTTTAGTGGTATCCATCCATGGTTGGTTGAAATCCTGTCACTCAAATATTCAAAGTAAATCCATTGGAGCAATAAGGGTGACGTTTAATTAATATTAAGCCCTCCTCCCCGCTCTGTGGAAGCTGATGAAATTCCAACCTAGAGTCAACTTTTGCGATATCCTTTTGCTATAAACACTTACCACGAAAAGCAAGCACATTTGTTGCACACGTATTCAAAACTCTTGATTGTTCTAAAAGGTTCACGGTGATACTTACCGTTGAGGCCAGGCTCCTCGTTATTGTTTTGCTGAGCAGCAGCAGTGGCGGACATGTTGCCAGCTCCGTTTTTAGTATTCGTCAACATGACATGCAAGCAGAGTGTTGCCAACTCCTCAGTAAGAAAAGTAGCTATTGGCTGTCCTAAAAGTCGCTTAATGACGTAATCGCAGAATTTGCATAATTGACCATGTGTATGTAATTGTGATGGACGCTGTAGGAGTGAGTAAAAAACTCCCTAAATATGTTTAGAACTACAAATGAACGTTCTTCTGTCGATTCTTCTTTTTAAAAAATGTTTTACATTTACATCCCGCCCTGAATGTAAGCCAGGGCGGAATCAGCCAGCGGCGGCTTCCCGCATGCGCGATTCATTTGCAGTCTGGACGCGGAGGGGTGAACATCTCCTACTCTGACTGCAGCTGGGAGGGACTGCTGCGCGAAGACTGGGCCGCCTGTGAGTGCTTTGGGACAGGGGGTAACAAAGCACCCGCTGCTCGTTGAGAAGAGTAAGAACGATACGCGCTTTCAAGTCACTAGATTTGTCGCTAGTCGCTTTTTTGAAAATGTGTCGCTAGAGGGGTCTGAATACTCGCTAAATATAGCGACAAAGTCGCTAAATTGGCAACACTGCCAAGCGAACGCAGGCGTATCATATATGATTGGCCCACCTGAGAGACGTCACCAAATTATTTCACTACTAACTTTAATTTGTTTTGCAAAATATAAGTCAAATAAACAGATGTTTGCGATGCATATTCCTTGTATTTCGAATTTCAATTTTCTGATCTCTTGCTTTATTTTCTCTATTTTCAAATGTTGCTTGTGTATGTAATGAAAATACACTTTCCTGTAGGAGAACATTATACATTATAATGGGGACATTCAAATACAAGGCATCTCATGTGTCTGAAAGAAGTCAAAAACGTATTACACAATTATTGTATTCATTCTTTATTACTCATTAATCTAAACTGTATTTTATTCCATTTGACAAAGGCAAACAGACCTATACTGTGAACCTTTAAAACTCCTGTTTTCATTTTTTTTTTATCACCCAAAATTTCCCACAATCTTTATCAAGAGCCCTCAAACAAAACATACAAAATCAAAGAAATTCACAAAAATAAAAAGTGCATTCTGTTGTGAGTCCTGTGAATACATTATATTTAAGTTCCCCTGAGCATTCTCCTGCCTGACAAGCTGCCAGTCACTTCAGGAAACATACTTGATTATCTTGTTTCCTCTGCTATGAAAAAGGCAATTTGGTCCTTCTGAACGACATTTGGTGGCTTTGCACAAGAGCTGTGAAGACAGGAGTGTGTGGGGGGAAGTATTCATTTATTTTGTTCCGGTGTCGCTATATATATATATATATCAGAGCCAATCTGTGACAACAATTACATTTGTACCTTAACTGAGCCGTGATGTTCTGATGCCAAGAGTGTGATGGTGGTATGGGGTTAGGGGTATAACGTGTTGCTTCTTCTATGGAGCATTTTACATCTTAACCATGACTAAACATTAGGCTAGTAGTAGGCTACTCTTGTTCCTCATGTCATGACACATTTTCACAACAGCGATTATAAGTGACAGCCGTTATAAACTGTCCACAAAACAAACATAAGAAAATCAAAGTATTCAACAAGGACATACGCTGAGTCTTGAGGAAGTGACCCTCACAAAACCAGTAGAGCTAATGACCTTTATTGCAGACAGTCTGCAATGGTGCTTATTGGTAGCATTACTAGTAAATGAGACTCAATTGATAAGCTTAATGCTAACTTATTACGATCCAATGGCTCACAATCAAGTATTCGCATAGCCATGTGCTGCAGCCAGAACAAAAAATAATTTACCTCCCAAAATATCATCAACAAAGAATGCCACATTAACTAAACACAGTACAAACGCTGGAAATACCGTACATTTGAAATACTGTCTCCAATGCCCTGAGCTGACATTAACCAGTAATTCCATCCAATGATACCCACGAACACATGCCTCACTTAACAGTTGAGTTTGTTTCCTGCATAAAGAACTTATGCACAATCAAAGAGAGAGAACATTGTGTTTCATAAAATATTTCAAGTCAGTAACCCTGTCTAGTCAATAAACCTGACACAGTGAACGCGCGGTTAAGAGCATTTCTTCAGTCAAACTGAAGCGAACAGATAATGCCTTTCCCATACGTACAATGGCCTATTTATTATTAAATGATATTTTACTCAGTGCAAATGTTTAGAAAACACAGCCATGGCACACACAAACAAATCCACACTGGAGTTAAAACAATTAGCGCAAATGAACTAGCTTAATAAACTCAGAAGCACCCGAATCCATTCCAGTCAATATCGGTTAAAGTAACCCTATTACAAAAACGAATGACCACTATGAGTCCGCAGTGGCACATACCTGAAAATACTTATTGGACATTCAACATGCATAAAGCCCTTCTTAAATGGCATATTCATATGCACTCCATCTTTAAACCCACTTGAATTTAACACAATGCTCATACAATAAGTCACATTAACTATCACCAGTCCAAGTAATCCTTCAGTCCACAGATCAGTCAAAAACCTACAGCTTAACAGACAACAGTGATCAGACTACACCAAGTAGTGTGAGGGGGTTAAAGGTTATCAATATTTCTGTCTTCTTAATTCATACAAAAATAAACTAATTATAGTGATTATTCTTTATCTGAAGTACAAAACATCATTAAAAAACATACAAACAAAAAACTTGATCCAGAGGGAAAACTTAAATTTCACAAGAAACATAAGCATAAGTCAAGACGCATGCATGGAACTTAGCAGCAGAGGTTCAAATGGGTGCCGCTCACATTTAAAAACTGACAAGTCATGCAGGTCAGCCAAGGCAGGCCTGTCTTTCTCCTGCAATAACTGCACTGGAGCCTCTGTGCTGAGCTGTACATGGTGGCACTCTAAGTGCAAGAGGGAGATTAGGCTGCAACGCCTCTGCCCACTACCATTTACTTGGAAAAGCAACGGCTTCATACTGTAGGTTACCTCTGGAGAAGGGCACTGTGCTTACCAGACTGTTAACCCTTGTCTGTAGTCTCAGACTGGCTAACTGTATATTTTACATAGTCGTCTCAAAATTACCCCCAGACCCCAACCCAGCCCACCAACTGTGTTGAGCTTTTGTGTGTGTATGTGTGTGTCTACATCAAACTTGGCAACTTGACAAATGGCCTGGGACAAAAATGGAGAGCTGACAGCTTGCCAATTTGGTCAGTGAAGAATAGCAATGTTGTGATTTGTGTCAACAATGGAGGGGTGGGAGGGAACCGAGTTGAAATAACTTCCTATCAAAAGAAAAAAAATGCTTGTATATACAAAACCGTTAAATGAGCAACATAGTAAATTAACAAAATAAACAATATCCCAAAGACTAGTGTTATAAAAGTGTTCCCTTTGGGATGTAGTGGACAACAGTTGCAATGTGGCAGGAGAAGTGTGGTACTGTTGGAGCCCCCTGAACAGAAAATAAGATGAAGAAAGACATCAAAACAGAGGCGTTATGCTGCACTTCTCCAGTTGAGGTTTTGGGGACTAGAATAGTGGGGCTAAAGTGGGATCTGGGATATGAAGGGTTCATTGAATATTTGTTACAGTTTGTCCTGAAATATATAGAGGTTGTTAGTGGTGGCCACTGCGATGATGTTGTCCTGAGGGTGCCAGGCCGTGTGGAGGATCTTCTTGTTAAAGTCCAGGCTGTCTACACTGATCTCGTCCTTCTTGCGCTTCCCACCTGTGCACACCTTGCGGGGCTTGAGCACAGAGCGAGGCTTACTGCTCTCCCGAGACGCCTCCAGGGTCACATCCTGCCGGTAGCCTCGGTCAAACATCCTGAAGAAGTTGTTGTACGAGCCCGTCATCACAACACTGAGGAGGACAAGGGTTGGGTATCAAACAGGGGTAGTGGCAGACTGACAGTGGTTTCACGTCAGAGTCTTTCGATCACAGAATCAAACCAAAACGTTCATTTATCTCAGGCATATTAAGCCTTACAAAATTCAACTGTATTGTGGCATGTAAAGTCAGGTCCATCATTATTGGCACCCTTGATAAAGATAAGCAAAAATACTGTATTAAATAAAATACAAATACTGAGCTATATGATATGCAAAAAATAAGATGGGAAATTATATTATTTTATACTAATACAATAGCTCAGAGAAATAGATTTCGTTTAACAAGTAATACAAAAAAAATCTCAAAAAGATAAGGGTCCAAATTATTGGCACCCCTGTTTTCAATACTCTAGCACCCTCCCGTGCGAGGATAATGACACTGAGCCTTTTTCTAAAATGTTGAGATTGGAGAACACGTTGGGAGGGATCTTAAACCATTATTCCATACAAAATCTTTTCAGATCATTGATATACTTCATCTGCTGTTATGGACTGCCCTCTTCAATTCAAAGCACAGTTTTTCCAAAGGGGTTCAAGTCCGGAGACTGAGATGGCCATTGCAAATATGTTGATTTTGTGGTCAATTAACCATTTCCACCACCATATTTTGCTGTAGGTATGAGGTACTTTTCTGCATATGCTTCTGTTTTTCAACGCCAAACCCTCCACTGGTGTGCTTCGCCAAAGAGCTCTATTTTAATGTAATCTGACCATAGCACCGGTTCCAATCCAAGTGCCAATACCGTTTATCAAACTCTAGGCGGATTCAGATGACATGAAAATGCAAGGATGAGCCTTGAGTTCTGTTTGACAGCGATAAAGGCAGCCTTTGATAAGGCCTGTGCCACTCAGTTCAGATGAGGGGATATCCCCATGTACTGTATCTTACAGTAGCTACAGCCTTTCTTCTGTAGGCCTAATGGAACATAAAATTACTATGTACAACTTATAAATAAATAAAACTATTACTTTGAGGAGTCTTTAACGTGTTCTCAATGTCAAACATTGATCTAATGCAGGGATGGGCAACTCCAGTCCTCGGGGGCCTGATTGATTGCCCCAGCTAACACACCGGACTCCTTTAAACAACTAATCATGATCTTCAGTTTAGAATGTAATTTGTTTAAATCAGCTGTGTTTGCTAGGGATGGGGGGGAAATTGTGACACCACTCCGGCCCCAGAGGACTGGAGTTGCCCATCCCTGATCTAATGCATCATACAGCATCAACTTCCTGATCAATGTCAGACAGCTATTCATAATTCATGAATTCTAAACTTGATGCTAAATCTAATGCTAAACTTGACTCTCACCTGTCGTTTCCATTCCAGCAGCACTCAAACTTATCAAAGATGCAGTCGTTCTCATAGAGTGAGCACAGTTTACTCCTGAGGTATTCATGAACCTGTTGGGAGGAAAATTATAGTTAAATCAAGACACTGAAAACAGTACATTATATTTGCAAAAAAAAAATATATTGGTTCAGTCTAATATATGCATACCTTCAAATTACAACAAATTATACAACAATCAAGCAATTGTATCCTTGCTTGAAAACAGTGAAATACAACAGGGGCCAATACAGGACAGGTGAACATTATAAAAATAGATCAGCTTTAATATTGCAGATAGATTGTAACTTCCATCAATGTAATTGTCTGCATCACTTCCAATCCCCCATATGTTTTTTTGTTTTTTTTTCTCTCGCATATACAGTGGGGAGAACAAGTATTTGATACACTGCAGATTTTGCAGGTTTTCCTACTTACAAAGCATGTAGAGGTCTGTAATTTTTTATCATAGGTACACTTCAACTGTGAGAGACGGAATCTAAAACAGAAATCCAGAAAATCACATTGTATGATTTTTAAGTAATTAATTTGCATTTTATTGCATGACATAAGTATTTGATACATCAGAAAAGCAAAACTTAATATTTGGTACAGAAACCTTTGTTTGCAATTACAGAGATCATACGTTTCCTGTAGGTCTTGACCAGGTTTGCACACACTGCAGCAGGGATTTTGGCCCACTCCTCCATACAGACCTTCTCCAGATCCTTCAGGTTTCGGGGCTGTCGCTGGGCAATACGGACTTTCAGCTCCCTCCAAAGATTTTCTATTGGGTTCAGGTCTGGAGACTGGCTAGGCCACTCCAGGACCTTGAGATGCTTCTTACGGAGCCACTCCTTAGTTGCCCTGGCTGTGTGTTTGGGTCGTTGTCATGTTGGAAGACCCAGCCACGACCCATCTTCAATGCTCTTACTGAGGGAAGGAGGTTGTTGGCCAAGATCTCGCGATACATGGCCCCATCCATCCTCCCCTCAATACGGTGCAGTCGTCCTGTCCCCTTTGCAGAAAAGCATCCCCAAAGAATGATGTTTCCACCTCCATGCTTCACGGTTGGGATGGTGTTCTTGTGGTTGTACTCATCCTTCTTCTTCCTCCAAACACGGCGGGTGGAGTTTAGACCAAAAAGCTCTATTTTTGTCTCTTCAGACCACATGAAATTCTCCCATTCCTCCTCTGGATCATCCAGATGGTCATTGGCAAACTTCAGACGGGCCTGGACATGCACTGGCTTGAGCAGGGGGACCTTGCGTGCGCTGCAGGATTTTAATCCATGACGGCGTAGTGTGTTACTAATGGTTTTCTTTGAGACTGTGGTCCCAGCTCTCTTCAGGTCATTGACCAGGTCCTGCCGTGTAGTTCTGGGCTGATCCCTCACCTTCCTCATGATCATTGATGCCCCACAAGGTGAGATCTTGTATGGAGCCCCAGACCGAGGGTGATTGACCGTCATCTTCAACTTCTTCCATTTTCTAATAATTGCGCCAACAGTTGTTGCCTTCTCACCAAGCTGCTTGCCTATTGTCCTGTAGCCCATCCCAGCCTTGTGCAGGTCTACAATTTTATCCCTGATGTCCTTACACAGCTCTCTGGTCTTGGCCATTGTGGAGAGGTTGGAGTCTGTTTGATTGAGTGTGTGGACAGGTGTCTTTTATACAGGTAACGAGTTCAAATAGGTGCAGTTAATACAAGTAAGAGTGGAGAACAGGAGGGCTTCTTAAAGAAAAACTAACAGGTCTGTGAGAGCCGGAATTCTTACTGGTTGGTAGGTGATCAAATACTTATGTCATGCAATAAAATGCAAATTACTTAAAAATCATACAATGTGATTTTCTGGAAATTACAGACCTCTACATGCTTTGTAAGTAGGAAAACCTGCAAAATCGGCAGTGTATCAAATACTTGTTCTCCCCACTGTACATACATACATACATACATACATATCCTTTAAAAATATATTCTCCTTTATTACTTTCCAACCACACCATCCTCTCCCTAATTGGAGTAAACTAGTGAACAACAACGCTTTAGGCCTCTACTTCATGCTTATACATACTATATACATTTTATGGACACAGTCACTAATTATATTTTGTTTGTTTTTACTCCTGAACTTCCTCCAATCATTTTCATGATGTCCATCTGGTATGCTTCTATATGCCATATCTTTCTAACTGTGCTCTTTCACAAAAGCTCACAATATATAACCTATATACATTTTATGGACACAGCATGTCTTACACTAGTTATCTTGTTGTTATTAGTCCCATCCTTCAGCTCCATTCAACACCTCCCATCTATCTCTTAACACCATCCATATTGGATTTCTATTTGCCATATATTTTTCAACTGTACTGTGATGTTTTATAAAAGTTCTCAACCTTTCTATTCTCATTGTTTCTACAGTTTGTGAATTGAAAATAAACATCTTTGCTAAAAGTATTATTATATTATTGATCAGTTGACTATGACTTTTCAGATCACCCAGTAGTGCTATCTGCAGGGTCAGCTCCATGCAAATATTGCAATCCTTCAGTCATTCTTGGACCTGTGTCCAGAAACAAGCTACAAATGGACAGTACCAAAACAAATGATCTAATGATTCTGTCTCTTCACAGCCAAATCTGCAGAGCTGGGAAGATTGTATCCCCCATACAAATAACATTCTATTGGTAGCAAGAATTGTATATAATAATTTAAATTGAAAAACTAAGTTTTGAATCCGGCGTCGTTTTGCGTATCAGTTCATAAACACTATGCCATGGAATCGGTACGTCAAATCTCTTCCCAACTATTTTGCAATCTATATGGGACGGCTGTCAATCTTTTGGTCCTTAAATGAAACTGGTAAACTTTTTAATTTATCACAATTTTCTTTAACCAATTATGTTCTTTAATGCAAGGCCGACAGACAAGTTCCTTCCTTTTTCCTCCTTCCACTTTCCTCTTCCATTTTTGCGGTAATGCTGCAATTATTTAGTTGTAATTTTGGGTAGAGCAGACATTTCCATATGTTTTTGTTAGCTGCATGTGCGACATAACTCCACCATTCCGATCGATAATATTGTTTACGAAGATTATACCTTTTTTAAACATTCTCAAAAAAGAACGGTTTATCATCAATTAGTATATTTGTGTTTAACCACAATATTTGTTGCAATATTTGTTCTGTCATTTCTGGAGGATTAAATTGAAATTGCAAACAACTTTCTATGGCTTGTTTTAGAAATAGTGATATTTAGGAGATTATTTCCTTTTCAAATACCTGAAAGTGAGGGGTTGTAATCTGAATAAAGGGAAAAAGTCCCTTCTTGAACATTGGGTGAGACAATCTTACTAATTTGCTAGAGAACCAGTTTGGATTTAAGTATAACTTTTGTATGACTGAAGCTTTTAGTGATAGGTCTAATGCTTTAATATTTAATAATTTCTGTCCTCCTAATTCATATTCATTATATAAATAGGCCCGTTTAATTTTGTCTGGCTTGCCGTTCCAAATAAAATTGAATATTTTTTTCTCATATAATTTCAAAAACTGTTCGCTAGGCGTTGCAAGACCATAAGCAAATAGGTAAACTGGGATAATACTAAAGAGTTAATCAGTGTGATTTTTCCACAAATTGTCAGGTACTTACCTTTCCATGGTAGCAAGATCTTATCTATTTTTGCTAACTTTCTATTAAACATTTTTGGAGTGAGATCATTTATTTCATTTGGGATACAGTGGGGGGAAACAAGTATTTAGTCAGCCACCAATTTTGCAAGTTCTCCCACTTAAAAAGATGAGAGAGGCCTGTAATTTTCATCATAGGTACACGTCAACTATGACAGACAAAATGAGGAATTTTTTTTCCAGAAAAATCACATTGTAGGATTTTTTATGAATTTATTTGCAAATTATGGTGGAAAATAAGTATTTGGTCAATAACAAAAGTTTCTCAATACTTTGTTATATTCCCTTTGTTGGCAATGACACAGGTCAAATGTTTTCTGTAAGTCTTCACAAGGTTTGCACACACTGTTGCTGGTATTTTGGCCCATTCCTCCATGCAGATCTCCTCTAGAGCAGTGATGTTTTGGGGCTGTCGCTGGGCAACACGGACTTTCAACTCCCTCCAAAGATTTTCTATGGGGTTGAGATCTGGAGACTGGCTAGGCCACTCCAGGACCTTGAAATGCTTCTTACGAACCCACTCCTTCGTTGCCCGGGCGGTGTGTTTGGGATCATTGTCATGCTGAAAGACCCAGCCACGTTTCATCTTCAATGCCCTTGCTGATGGAAGGAGGTTTTCACTCAAAATCTCACGATACATGGCCCCATTCATTCTTTCCTTTACACGGATCAGTCGTCCTGGTCCCTTTGCAGAAAAACAGCCCCAAAGCATGATGTTTCCACCCCCATGCTTTACAGTAGGTATGGTGTTCTTTGGATGCAACTCAGCATTCTTTGTCCTCCAAACACGACGAGTTGAGTTTTTACCAAAAAGTTATATTTTGGTTTCATCTGACCATATGACATTCTCCCAATCCTCTTCTGGATCATCCAAATGCACTCTAGCAAACTTCAGACGGGCCTGGACATGTACTGGCTTAAGCAGGGGGACACGTCTGGCACTGCAGGATTTGAGTCCCTGGCGGCGTAGTGTATTACTGATGGTAGGCTTTGTTACTTTGGTCCCAGCTATCTGCAGGTCATTCACTAGGTCCCCCCGTGTGGTTCTGGGATTTTTGCTCACCGTTCTTGTGATCATTTTGACCCCCCAGGGTGAGATCTTGCGTGGAGCCCCAGATCGAGGGAGATTATCAGTGGTCTTGTATGTCTTCCATTTCCTAATAATTGCTCCCACAGTTGATTTCTTCAAACCAAGCTGCTTACCTATTGCAGATTTAGTCTTCCCAGCCAGGTGCAGGTCTACAATTTTGTTTCTGGTGTCCTTTGACAGCTCTTTGGTCTTGGCCATAGTGGAGTTTGGAGTGTGACTGTTTGAGGTTGTGGACAGGTGTCTTTTATACTGATAACAAGTTCAAACAGGTGCCATTAATACAGGTAACGAGTGGAGGACAGAGGAGCCTCTTAAACAAGAAGTTACAGGTCTGTGAGAGCCAGAAATCTTGCTTGTTTGTAGGTGACCAAATACTTATTTTCCACCAAAATTTGCAAATAAATTCATTAAAAATCCTACAATGTGATTTTCTGGATTTTTTTTTCTCAATTTGTCTGTCATAGTTGACGTGTACCTATGATGAAAATTACAGGCCTCTCTCATCTTTTTAAGTGGGAGAACTTACACAATTGGTGGCTGACTAAATACTTTTTTTCCCCACTGTATGTATTCCGAGTATATCCACATCATCATCAGACCATTTTATTGGTAAACTACATGGTAATGTAAAAATGTATTTGTTTGTTTTAGTGATCCAATACGTAATATAGTACATTTATCATAATTTGGTTGTAATCCAGAGAGGTTAGAAAATGTATCTAGATCCTCTATGAGGCTGTGGAGGGATTCAAGTTGTGGATTTAAAAAGAAAACATGAATCATCAGTGTACAATGACACCTTTGTTTTTAAGCCCTGGATTTCTAATCCCTTGATATTATTGTTGGATCTGATTTTAATAGCTAACATCTCGATGGCAATAATAAATAGATATGCTGATAGTGGACAACCTTGTTTCACTCCTCTTGACAGTTTAAAACGTTCTGAGAAATAGCCATTATTTACTATTTTACACCTAGGGTTACTATACATGATTTTAACCCAATTTATAAGAGATTCTCCAAAATTGAAATGCTCCAGGCATTTATATATAAACCCCAGTCGTACTTTATCAAATGCCTTTTCGAAGTCTGCTATGAATAGTAGGCCTGGCTTCCCAGATTTTTCATAGTGTTCTATTGTTTCCAGTACTTGCCTTATATTATCTCCAACGTATCGCCCATGTAAAAAACCTGTCTGATTAGAATGAATAATGTCCGACAATACCTTTTTAATTCTATGCGCTATACATTTTTGCTATAATTTTTGCATCACAACACTGAAGTGTAAGGGGCCGCCAATTTTTTAATGGACTGGATCTTTATATTTTCCACTTGTATCCTGTTTCAGTAATAATGAAATCAGGCCTTCTTCTTGAGTGTCTTGAGGTGCACATTTGTAAAGGACACATTTATACACAATATCTCCCCCTAGTGGAGGATTTATGTATCAAACTAAAGTTTAGAGATTGGACAAGCAAATATAATTTTGGATGCAACATCCATGATGTCACTATCTCCCACCACACAGACACCAGCTGACCTGATAAGTCTCTACTGGACGGGACTCCATGTTGAGGTCCCAGATTTTGACGGATAGGTAGTCCCGGGTCATCATGTAGCGCCCACTGTGGCTGAACTTGACATCAGATATGGAGGAGATAATCTCAGAGAAGAATGAGCGGTTGCTTGGATCCTCAGGCTCTTCAAACACTGAATGAGACAAGGAGAAGTGTGCTCGCTTAGTCAGTTCATTGGAGTAATCAATGACAGGAATGGACTCTTGAAACATCTGCTTCCAAGGTCTCTGAAATTGCTGGGCTTTTCAGTACTTTTAATCTGTCTCCGAAAAACTGGGTACATGTAGTCATTTTAATCAATATGCCATTTTAGTCACTTTACCTGGTCGTCTCCACAGGGCACAGCATTCTGTCTGAAACTAAAATCATGGACTCCACTGTCACATGCCACTTACGTTTGGAGTGCTGGTCACAGAGAGCTGATGCTCTCATGTCACAGAGGCGGATGGTGCCCTTGCTGCTGCTGTAGACAAAGGTGTTGCACTGGTTAGGATGGAACTCTGCTGCTGTAATCACCTCTGTCAGCTCCTCCATGTTGGCTGGCTTGATGTCCACAATGTCTGAGGAGGTCAGTGAGGTCAAGGGCAAACATAACAGCTCTGACACCACCACAAATAAGGGGGCTCCTTAACTACCCTGACCCACAAATTACTTGAATTGTGCTGTCTCAGTCAAATTGGTTTCAGTGCTATCCAAGACAAACTCAATGTAGAATTAAAAAAATCTGACAGCATGAAATCGAGACGGATCAAGATCACCTTCATCAGAAAGACTGAAAGGAACAGTGATGGGGACCAAACAGAGGATACTAAAGCTGCGGTCAGTGATCTCCAGGTTCCAGAGGTTGATGCGAAGGTCATCGGCAGACAGGTAGGTCTCACAGTCGCTGTTGACTGAGATGGAGTTGATGTGGTAGGTGTGTGCGTTAGAAAACACTCGCCTGGGGCTGGCCTCCACCATCAGGTCCATGGGCTGAAACACTGGGACCTATGGTGAAGAGGAGGAGATTTAGCAGGTTCTGTAGTATGAGTTGTGTGTGTATAGGATTAGGTATATAGGATGAGTCTACACACACTTAGTGTTGTGTCAGTGTTGGGGTCTCTGAGTGTGGAGGGTATAGGTAGTGGGTACGTGAAGGTCTACACACCCGTAGTGTTGTGACGGTAGTGGGGTCTCTGTAGCGCCCATCCTCTTCCTTCAGGTTGTACCCCTCTGGTCGCTTGTCCCGTTCACTGATTTTCCACAGCTTTATAGTTTTATCTGCAAGACAACACACATGTATGTCACACTGCTTATGCACCAGCAATATATTTATGTTGCTCCCTCTCCTATTCAAAACATACAAATGAGTCAATGTAATGAACAGCTTATCTAGAGTTTTCCCCATCTTCAACAGAGGAAAGGGCTGGGGAGGGTAAGGCTACATGTACACACTGCTCTACTGACCATTTGTGGACAAGAGGAACTGTGCAGCGTTCTTCTGAGGCAGCCACCGGATCTTGTTGATCTTCTCCTCAATCTCAAGGCTCTTCAGGTAGTCGAACTCAGGCTCGTGGCTCTGGAAGGTGCTGTAAACATTGTACTCTCCACGGCATTGTGGCTGGTTCTTGCTCTGCTCAATTACATAACAGATTCTGATTCCAATCATGTAAAAAATAAATGTACTACTGAGACAAGATTCTGTCAAGTAATTGATTTTAGTGGACTGTGTTGAGCAGGAACCTTCACTTACCTCTAGCTCCTGCTGAAAGATGACAACGCGGCCCCCCTTGTCCCCAGTGGCTAGTAGCTCCCCAGAGTGATTGAATTCCACAGTGGATATGATGTCAGCTGTCACAAATAACATGACAATTAGTATGTTAAATTGCTTATTGCAAGATGTATCAACATTTGTAATGTTTTGGGGGGTAACTATCCATTTTGCAATGCATCTAGCGCCCTACAGTGGTGCACTGATTTCACTACTTAGCATAGTACTACTAGCCTACATCTGATTTTGTGAAGCTGTGGAAAGCAAGACATAGGCCTACTTAACCACCCCAGAGGGAAAATGTAAAACAAACGTAGCATCTGCAGCTAACCACTTCCATAGAATTCTCATCCCGCTGCCTTTAGCTCAACTCAACAATCTCTCCCTTATGACTGAGGTTGGCACAAGCCTGAGTGTAGGGTAGTGCTATCACCAACATAATAGGAGTTCTATGGAGAAGTGCTTGACTCAGCTCCTGCCACAGCCACACACTGCCTCCCCACAGTTCCAATAGGAACAGACAAAGGGGAAAGGAAACAAGCAGAAAGAAACTATAATTTGCAGCAGCATGAAAACTCTTGCATATCCCACATTGTCACTGTATGAGTCTTGCATCCTTTTGCATGTCTGAAAGTCTGTTCAGATTAACTTAAAAAAGGGCCAGGCACACAGTAACTAGGTTTCCATCCAACCTTTTTATGCGAGTAAAGTACATGTCGGTTAAAAATGTAATGACAGGCCTGATGGAAACTGCAAATGTCAGTAAACGTTCCAAATGTTGACAAAACAAAGTACGCTAGACAAGGTGGGATATTTTTGTGTTGGTAAAATTAATTATGCAAGAAGTGGTGGTAGAAACATTTATGCGCAAATGTTGATATAATAACTATCATATCGAAGTAAACTTTTAGTCACGTGATGATATATTGTGTGGTCCTCCCAATACGACTTGGAAAAGCATGCAGTTTATTAGGCTACAGATGAAATAAATTATGAACTTCACAGGGTGGTGAAAGTACACGGTGATGAGCTTGATGCTCCTTTACAATAAATATTGAGGGTTTTATTCTGGTGACACGAGGATCAATGCTTGGCTGCCGTTTGACAAATAAAAATACTGTTGCTCTTTTGTCCATAATAATCTCATCATTTAGGCTAAACCTGTACTGTATCTGCGAGCTGTTGGCTAGAGCGCACGTGCCAAGGCCAGAGTGGGCACATTTGATATTTAATGCAAAAAAAATTGTGACAAAACCATCAGTAGAGTTGAAAATGCAATGGAAACCCATTTAACTTGTTGTTTTAAATTAGGTACATGGGAATTTAACCGTAAAAGTTATATTTATGTTCACTACATCATCACGCAGAGCCTTTTATCCACAAAAAGTACATTTGATGGAAACATCTCTGGTGGGAAAATGCGCATATTGTTTTTATGCAGATTTTTTCATATTCACATGAAAATCTGTCGCCAATTGGATGGAAATCTAGCTACAGACATACACAGATCCTGACCTACTCTGCTTTGTTACGCTTCTTATAAGGCAAAGCTTGTACTGTAAACAGAACCTTGTAATGTGCACACATGATCAAGCATATTCGGCTCCTAGCCATTCATACACTTCAACGGAGGAGGTGAGCCAAAGGCACCCAATAGTCCTTATACCTTTCCCTATATCTTATGTGCAACTAAGAACACCGTCTATGCAGCCTAGAAACCCAATTAGGCTACTAGCTCTCAAATTAAAAAGCAAAAGTGTCATGGTGGTCCCAGCATCTTAATGAGTTTAAGTGGAAAAGTACAACAGTTACCATTGGCTCTTTACCAATGCTTTATTTGCCTACATCATGAGATGAAGTAGGCTACAGACCAAAACTGCATGTCATGACAGACTATAGCTCCTTCATGAGAATCACCCAACATCATCTTACCTTTCCATTTGGGTCACAGACAATTTCCAGACAATCAATTATGCATCATCACTAGCACCACACATCTGATCACAAAAGTGCCATGCCCCTTTATTATTTGACATGTTTTGTGGGTACCTTAAAACTTCAATTAAACTGAGTCTCAAATAGCCACCTGTCCCTTTTAATAGCCAGGCAACGGCACACATTTTAGCAAATAAACACCTGTTTCAAATAAACAATTCTAAATTAATTGTTTATGAGGTTATCATGAATTTCCATGAATAGTTTACAAGGTTTAATGTTTGATGTGTTACCTAAAATAATTCAATAATGACTTGAAAAAATTATGGCAATCATCCGTTTTTATCGCCAGTAAAAAACGGCTAGCCATTGGCTGATAACAGCTGAGAACTGCTAGCTAACTGGCAAACACAAAAACAGTCAACAACTTCGAAATAGAGGCATACTAAGACAAAAGAAACGTGACACAATGTGTAAATGATAACACAGTGCAGGAAATGAATGCATTGATTAAAATGCTTCAAGTGAACGCTGGAATTAAACAATCAACTAACTGTGCAAATGAGCCAGATCTGTGTGCATTAATAGACACCTGGCTCAAAAAGACGCTTTAAACACCCAGGCTATTATTAATTGAAGTTTTACGGTATATTATGTTTTATGAGGAGAAGTTAAAGTGAGTCAGTGACTGTGATTGTTAGTCTGAACAATGCTTACTGCACCCTACATCAACTAGCTAGCTAGCAGTCTAGAGACGTCCGAATCATCAGTCTCTTACCTTCAGCCACATCGTCATCAATCGCTCCTTTGACTTGAGAAAAGCACCACTGCACATCATTGCCTCCGCCGCCAGCTCCTGGAACCCCACAAACAGAGCAATGCTTTAAACATCAAGCTGCATCGTAATGGCTCTGATGTCAAAGATAAATATGAATCTTCTAGATCAGCATGCTTTGCTTATAATCTCCTGAATACTGTAGCTACTTTCCATAAAACATAATCAAGAGAAGACAACTATTGAGCAACTTATAGAAATCATTGCTTGGTAAAGTTAGCTTCAATACAGAGTGGAAGTGATAACTAGCAAAGTTAGTTAACATTACGGTAGCTAACTAATGTTGTTGATGGCGGTGCAGTTAGATAACTAGCTAACTTAGCCGAAGCATCCGCTAAAGCTGGACAACACATGCAGAGTAACGTTTACACTCCCAACTCGTAGTACGCTAACCTTAGCTAGTTTCTCTCCAAATGGCAAGAAAGCTGACAATCTAACGTTACATCAAAACAATTTGTAGAATTTATGTGCGATTAACTTGACCATTCTATTCATGCATCATAGCTAGCTAACGACAGTAGCCTGCTAGTTAACTTTACCTGCCATGGTGGTGAGAGGGAATCTCTGTCGAGGAGGGCTTGCTTGGGGCCCTTGCTTATCTTTCCACTTTGCCGTGCTAGGGTGTGTACAAGGAGAATCTCGCTGAGTGCAGGGGAATCGTAAAGCTATAGAGTGTGTGGCTGTTTTCCCCTACTATTCTTCAACTTCTCATGTCACTTATCTTGCTTAGCAGTACTTTGACAATCAGCAATGCTCCCTTGGAACACTTTGCAACGCTTCTTGTTTAGCTGGCTGCTTGCTAGCAAAATTTCCCTCTCCCTGCTCCTACTTTCAAAATGGCGCAACCTAGTCCTGCACTGACGTCAGTGACAGACTTCTTCTTGTGAATTTCCGGTAGACTAGACGCTTTTAGGCGTATTGCTGCCTTTCTCAGTTCGGAATTTGCATTCCACATTGTGACGAAACAAAAAATAAAGGGAAAACCTTAAATTGCACCACCATCTAACCCTGCACCTAGTATTCATTTACATTTCAGCCATTTAGCAGACACACTTATCCAGAGCAAATAGGGTTAAGTGCCTTGCTCAAAGAAACATCAACAGATTTGATACCTACCTGCCGTCCTGTATACTTGCCCCCAAAACCCACCACCCCATCCCAACACTTGGGCCTAAATGATCCTACACCAGGCAGTTGGCCTGGGAGGATGGAACCCCTTCTCTCAAAACTTTCTGTAGATCTTCTGCACTAAAATCTCTCACACCCAAATATTTATCAGCTGCTGCAACTACTACATATATCTTCTGTGATTTCCGCTCCATCAGTGCAGTGCAGTTGATCACCATGGCAATAAACACTTGAAATCCAACCTTACTAAAACTCATTGTCTCTGGCTCTCTCTCTACAGGTCTATTCACTGGGGGGGGCTCCTAGTCGACTCACTCACCCTTGGCCTATCCTCTATTCTCTTCACTGCCTCAGCATAGGAAACTTTCTGCCCCACTCGAACTCTGGCAATCTCAACCTGTCTCTCTCTCACAGGGCTCTTCGGATCCCCAGCTGCATGGGCATCCCCACAGTTGACACACAGTGCATTCTCTATCCCAACTGTACACTCCCTCTGACTATGCCCTCCTGCAAATTTCTCACATCGTGGAATCTCTTTCACACTGCTGCAACATGTCCGAATCCTTGGCACCTAAAGCACTGAAGCAGGTTCAGAACATAGGCCCTCACAGAATAGCAAATATAACCTGACCTTATCAGGAAAAACAAGATAGACAGGGTATTCTCAGTCTCGCCATTGCCACCGGGTCTACATCTCACCAAACGGCGGGCATCACAAACACTAGGAATATTCCTTTTAATTTGATCCACCTCTACACTCAACGCTACCCCACTGATCACCCCTTTTAGCGAAGCCCTGCTCCGGAGAGCAAAGCACACCACAGGTTAAGCCCCGAGCCGTGTGACTCGAAGCGCCCGCACATCTAAACAATTCCACTTCTCTAAACATACAAAGATGTAGCCATTCCCTGTTGGTCCTTTACCCAGCACGACACAATGTATGGGTTGGCCAAAAAAGCAGGGATCCACTCTTTCCAGAAATCTCACTCCTCCTGATCCAAAATCATCTCTGGTAGGATTCTCAGGGCAAACCTAGGAAGTCTCCACTACACCTGTCGCCGCAGGTAAGCCCACTTCATCCTGGACTGGCTCAACCTCAGAGCGCTCACCACTGCCGTCTGACTCCATTTTGAGATTATAAAGGTTCTCAAGAGAGCGTGAAGACCTATAAGTCATATTACTTGGTTTGTAATCAGGAGACGTAGGTACAGTGCCTTCGGAAAGTATTCAAACCCATTGACTTTTTCCACATTTTGTTACGTTACAGCCTTATTCTAAAATGGATTACATTTTAAACAAATCCTCAGCAATCTACACACAATACCCCTATAATGACAATGCGTAAACAGGTTTTTAGAAATGTTTGCAAATTTATTAAAAATAAAAAACAGAAATACCTTATTTACATAAGTATTCAGACCTTTTGCTATGAGACTCGATATTGAGCTCAGGTGCCTCCTGTTTCCATTGATCATCCTTGAGATGTTTCTACAACTCTGATTGGAGTCCACCTGTGGTAAATTCAATTGATTGGACATGATTTGGAATGGCACACACCTGTCTATATAAGGTCCCACAGTTGACAGTGCATGTCAGAGCAAAAACAAAGCCATGAGGTCGAAGGAATTGTCGGTAGAGCTCAGAGACAGGATTGTGTCGAGGCACAGATCTGGGGAAGGGTACCAAAAAATGTCTGCAGCATTGAAGATCCCCAAGAACACAGTGGCCTCCATCATTCTTAAATGGAAGAAATTTGGAACCACCAAGACTCTTCCTAGAGCTGGCCGCCCGGCCAAACTGAGCAATCGGGGGAGAAGGGCCTTGGTCAGGGAGGTGACCAAGAACCCAATGGTCACTCTGACAGAGCTCTAGAGTTCCTCTGTGGAGATGGGAGAACCTTCCAGAAGGACAACCATCTCTGCAGCACTCCACCAATCAGGCCTTTATGGTAGAGTTGCCAGACGGAAGCCACTCCTCAGTAAAAGGCACATGACAGCGTGCTTGAAGTTTGCCAAAATCCACCTAAAGACTCTCAGACCATGAGAAACAAGATTCTCTGATCTGATGAAACCAAGATTCAACTCTTTGGCCTAAATGCCAAGCGTCACGTCTGGAGGAAACCTGGCACCATCCCTACGGTGAAGCATGGTGGTGGCAGCATCATGCTGTGGGGATGTTTTTCAGCGGCAGGGACTGGGAGGCTAGTCAGGATCGAGGGAAAGATGAACGGAGATCCTTGATGAAAACCTGCTCCAGAGCGCTCAGGACCTCAGACTGGGGCGAAGGTTCACCTTCCAACAGGACAACGACCCTAAGCACATAGTCTCTGAATGTCCTTGAGTGGGCCAGCCAGAGCCCGGATTTTAAGCTGATCGAACATCTCTGGAGAGACCTGAAAATAGCTGTGCAGTGAAGCTCTCCATCCAACCTGACAGAGCTTAAGAGGATCTGCAGAGAAGAATGGTAGAAACTCCCAAAATACAGGTGTGCCAAGCTTGTAGCGTCATAGCCAAGAAGACTCGAGGCTGTAATCGAGGCTGTAATTGTTGCCAAAGGTGCTTCAACAAAGGACTTAGTAAAGGGTCTGAATACTTACGTAAATGTAATATTTCCGTTTTTTAAATTAGTAAACATTTCTAAAAACCTGTTTTTGCTTTGTCATTATGTGGTATTGTGTGTAGAATGATGAGGGAATAAAAAAATAATCAATTTTAGAATAAGGCTGTAACATAACAAAATGTGGAAAAAGTCAAGAGGTCTGAATACTTTCAGAATGCACTGTATATCACATGGGATGAACTGCTGTGACCATAAATCCCCAGTATCAGGGAGAAAATGGAACAACTACAACCACAAGATGGCAATAATGTAACATGTAATCTATGTCCCCAAACTGGTTCTTGTGTTGCTTGCAGACAATGGCCTGTCGATTTAACAGAAGAGGGGAAAAAACACTTCTACACAGCTCTAGCTTCCCCTAGAAAATAAAAGTTGTGCTAACTATAGTAACATGGAAGCCAGCCAGTATCCTTATGTCATATGCTTTTTCAATCCAGGAGGCTTTCCTTGATTAAAAGTACATCATTCTTTACACTGCCAAGAATGCCATTTCACCAAGGTTACCAAATAAATCATGTTACGTACAGTATGTGGAATCTATCTTTGTTCCAGTTATTTGCTGCCAGGACAATAGTTATTTGCATATTACTGTAACTCACAATGATAAAACATATGTATAATATACAGCTCTGGAAAAAATTAAGAGACCACTGCAAAAATATAATTTCTCTGGTTTTACTATTTATAGGTATGTGTTTGGGTGAAATTAACATTTTTGTTTTATTCTATAAACTACTGACAACATTTCTCCCAAATTCCAAATTAAAATATTGTCATTTAGAGCATTTATTTGCAGAAAATGACAACTGTTCAAAATAACAAAAAAGATGCAGTGTTGTCAGACCTCGAATAATTTTTAAACAACACAATACTAATGTTTTAACTTAGGAAGAGTTGATTTTCAATCACAGCTTTCATGCGTCTTGGCATGCTCTCCACCAGTCTTTCACATTGATGTTGGGTGACTTTATACCACTCCTGGCGCAAAAATTCAAGCAGCTCGGCTTTGATGGCTTGTGACCATCCATCTTCCTCTTGATCACATTCCAGAAGTTTTTTAATGGGGTTCGGGTCTGGAGATTGGGCTGGCCATGACAGGGTCTTGATCTGGTGGTCCTCCATCCACACCTTGATTGACCTGGCTGTGTGGTATGGCGCATTGTCCTGCTGGAAAAACCAATCCTCAGAGTTGGAGAACAATGTCAGAGCAAAAGGAAGCAAGTTTTCTTCCAGGACAACCTTGTACGTGGCTTGATTCATGCGTCCTTCACAAAGACAAATCTGCCCGATTCCAGCCTTGCTGAAGCACCCCCAGATCATCACCGATCCTCCACCAAATTTCACAGTGGGTGCGAGACACTGTGGCTTGTAGGCCTCTCCAGGTCTCCGTCTAACCATTAGACGACCAGGTGTTGGGCAAAGCTGAAAATTGGACTCATCAGAGAAGATGACCTTACTCCAGTCCTCTACGGTCCAATCCTTATGGTCTTTTGCAAACCTCAGCCTGGCTTTTCTTTGCTTCTCATTGATGAAGGGCTTTTTTCTAGCTTTGCACGACTTCAGCCCTGCCCCTAGGAGCCTGTTTCGAACCGTCCTCGCCGTGCACTTCACCCCAGCTGCCGTTTGCCATTCTTTTTGTAGGTCACTTGATGTCATCATACGGTTGTTGAGTGACATTCGAATGAGTTGGCGGTCATCCCGGTCAGTAGAGAGTCGTTTTCGCCCTCTGCTGGTCTGTAGCTTGTTGTCCCCAATGTCTGCTGCTTGACCTTGTTCTTATGAACCGCCGTCTTTGACATTTTAAGGATGGAAGCAACCTGACGCTCACTGTATCCCTCTGCCAGTAAAGCCAAAATTGAACCGTTCTTTTCCTCACTCAAGACGTTCCTTTTCAACTCTTTTGGCATGGTCAATAGTTATTTTTTGATTAACATTACTTTTGAGGTACTATTAGCACTGTTTTTGCCATCCAGCTGGTCCTATTGCAAGAGGATAGTGATGACCACAGCAGTGGTTTTTTATAATTTTCCTCGTTAAATGAGATTTGGTTCAGATGATCACCTAATCAGTACCTAATTCAGTAGAATGAGGTGTGCCTGTGTTGGA